CCATACCAGAGGGGCTTGGGGGGTTGGCTTTTTCCTGTGGCGAGAGGAGGGATATGGGTTTTTTGTCGTCATAGCTAGCGCTCCATACGTTTTTTGTACCCTAAACAAATAATCAATGAGTTAAACAAAAATAGTTGCTTTATCCGAAATAATAAGTAAGGTTTGAAGAAAAACCTTAGCCTGAGGAGATCCATGATTGATTGAACAAATAGACTGATTGTCTAAAATCAAGGCACTTCAGAAAGTTTAATATGTTGTTCATGTTACACATAATAGCGTAATCGGTGCGGCACGTGACTAAATTCATAAAGGTCACGTGTTCGACTCCGGGCCCCGCCGTAGTTATCGTGACGATATCATATTATCGCACGAAATGATAAGGCATCTATGCAGCCCGCTCCGCGGAGATACGAGGCATGCGACCGAGGGGTTTTCGCTGGATAACATAGAAGGAGCTCCGCTCTACAAGATAAGACTTAGTTGGTTCAGATTGGTCAGTTAGTTAACGAGCTACGACCTCTGCAAGTCTATATGCAATTACAAGAAGTAATATGCATATTCCTTCAGCTCGCGTAAGCTAGAGTCATCCGGAAGACCTAGTTACGATTGGTTAATAACAACTCACTGGTCGAGTTAGTTATCTTCGTCATGCACTCTAAGCTATGCACATAGAAGAGTCATTGATAAGTCCTTTGACGGAGCTGATCACTCCACTCAGGAAGAGAGCGGGGAAGTTAGTTTTCAGGGTCAAATGGGGTTCGCACTCCAAAGACACTGAAACGTTAGTATGGCAGGTACATAGTCAGTAAGGGATTAGATGTTGGCCGCGACCACCCAGACGCGGAATATAAATATCGAGGTGCCTCCCTAGCTTTAAGTCTATCATCAGCGACCGGAGAAGAGATCTTATCAATATATTCGTTCTACTTTACTTCTATCTTTACGAGCCTTCTTGACTATCTCCGAGACAGAAGATTACAGGGCCTAGTGTACACTCGCTTGATTTTAGAGTTACCTACCCCCTAACAGTTCATTCTTCTTGTAGTAGTATTACTGCAATACTGCTAGATGCTACTACTAAAGCAATCTTGTATTAACTTTGAATTTTTATAAGAATTGTATTCTCTAAAAATGTCTTTCCTGCTCCTCTTGGCCTATTATGGAAAAACATATCTCCAGTATTAATATCTACTGACCTTAGAACTACTTGAAATACATATCTCTGTACAGAATTTAACTGTAGTTTACATCTCTAAAGCATTCTATTTAACTCTACATAATTTTATACTATAGTAACCTATTCTAATATTGACTACAAAGTCTATAGTTTAAGTCCGATAAAGGTAATAGCAATGCAAAGTAATCTAACCAATTACCCATATTAGAGAGTATTTCTTGAAAAAAATATTGTTTAAGGCTATATGTTTGCTTATCTGATAGACTCAGAATTTCCATATGTGGCACCTGTATGATAGGATAATTATCTGAGCTCAGGCAGGGTAATCTTTTCATATCTCATTAAGGTAGGGTAACTTTATTCTCTCCTCACATATCACATTTTCTATTTCCAGCATCAAAGCTACCCACTGGCCCCTTTACCCTTTCCTTTTTTCCGCTCTGATTTTATTTTCTTCCCCCCAGGTGTCTTTTATCTCCTTCAACCCACCCTAGCTTAGTGCTGTCTTTCCGGGCATTTGTCTCATAGTGCATTTTAGTGCTGTCTCATAGTGCATTTTAGCGCTGTCTTTCCGGGCATTTTGTACTGGCGGTTTTCAGGGGTCTCGAGTACTATAGATACTAATTCTTGATTACATAATATTTTATATACTCGCAAAACACTGGGCTTTGGCAAGAGCAACTTTGAAGAACCACCATACCGTACGGTACGGTACATGGGTATCATAATTCGAAATTTTTACTATATCCACCAGCATTGCTCTGATTGAAAAATCCGAAAAGATGGAATTACAGAGGAGTGCCTTCTGAGCAGCTCTGTGAAGCTACTGTACAGTACGGGCACTGCTGCAGAAGGGGTCGCTATTGTGCTGTGTAGTGCCGCCGATGCCGTATCATACCGTACCACGAAACCCCGACAAAGATTTTCATCGACCGTCGGGCAAACCGCCAATTCATGTTCTCCCATGGGTAAATTAAAAGAGTACGGTACGGGCCCACTGCTCCAGGCACTGCGCGCGTATCCTCCAAAATGGAGGTTCTAGAATATCATAGCAATAGGATATGTCATAAGTTAACGGTATGGTATGATACTCTCGCCTCCCCCTTCCGGCCCCTCAACGCAATCAAAATCACAATCATAGCCATGGGGTGCGCTACACAGGCGCAGTACCGCACGAACCCGCCGACAATGGGAAGAGCTCGTCGCATTTCTCCAAAGGGCGGTCATTGGCCTAAGGAGCCTTCTGGAGGATACAGGAACTGTCTACGGTATGCTGGGTAAAGACCAGTTCCTCTATGGAGCTTAAAGACTAGCTAAGGGCATAATCCTACTAGCTCTTCTATATAGGGCTGAGATTCTGGTCCCACCGAAAGCAATATTTTTTTTTTTTAAAAAAAGAAACGATGTGATGCTTTTCAAACTGTATTCTGCACTGGTTTACCAATACATTTTATGCTACAAATATCATATTTCTTTCTTTGGAGGCTTTGATTACTATACTAATAGCATCGTTGCTAGCATACTCGAGTGTGTTAAATAGAAACAGAGAATGACAGTAATAGTAAGAATTATCACTGCTATCTCTGAGAACAATGTAGCCACAACTGCACGGTCTATTACTCGTATACTAGTAGTAAGTTATGTAACTAAATGGGACCTCATGATTCCTACTAATACAGGAAGGGGGTCAACGAACACAGGAAAGAAAATTCCAGTTTGCCAAGACCTCTTTGGTGTATTGTTCGTTGACCCCCCCTCCTACGTTAATGGAAGGCCGGTATTTAATAACAACAGTAGCCGTATAAGGCTACAGGTATAGACATCTATCTCCAATACTATTACTTAAAGCAAATCATTAATAATTAATGTCACGATAATTACTGTTTGTATTTTTTTTAAAAATAAAAAAAAACACTACTGCTGATAAAACCCTTAGAAGCACCTGCTATATTATACATTCTAGACAGTGCTGTACAAGGACTTTATAATTTTTTCTTATGCCATTAAGGAAAGGAGGATATCTCCTTTTTTTCTTTTCTTTTTTTCTCCCCGTCCGAGGAGGTTTCGTGCGAGCAGGCCCATGCCTTAGAGTGCCTGTCATGACTCTTTCACTCCCGTATGATACTCGGGTAGGTTTAGGATCGGAAATAAAATCAAGGATTTATAATAATACTCAAGGCGCCGGTTTGCTCTGCCAGTTCCTATTACGGAATCGCTCATCCTCGGGAATTTTAGCCAATAAAATGCAGTACAGAACGATGATTGCAACCACACTAAGAAAACTCTGAACCTCAAGAACCTGGATGACATTCACCTCCATTCACTTGAAACAACGAAAGGTGATGGTGAGCTATGCCAGCAGAAGGGAATCGTCACATTTAAATGGCCATTGAGATCACCAAAGCTTAGCCAAATGGAGTGACTATGGGATGATTGTAAAGATGAGATTGCCGCTTACCAATTTACTGGTACTAGTCAGGAAACGGTTGAGCAAGCAAAGGCTACATTGGTTGAGGTTTGGAGACAGTTTCCACAGGAATTGATCGATAGGCATTGTCAAAGCTTTCATGAAAAGCTTAATAGATGTATCATTCATCATGGTAATAATAAATTTAATGGATAGTATTTTGTATTTGTTTTAAGTTTGTTCCTTTCACGCACTCCTAGTAGCTAAATTAGAGGGGCCGGGGATGCTTTATGTGGGGATTGTTACTGTGACTGCAGGAAAACTGGCGACTCAGTAGTCAATGTTACAGCTTTGTTTTAAGGTGTCCATACACTTTAGCTAGTGTTGCGCCGGAGGCACTTTGGTGTCTTGTATAGGCCAAAACATCCGAGGATGAGCGATTCCAGAATAGGAACTGGCAGAGCAAACCGGCGCCGTGAGTACTCGTGCCTCCGAGCCAAGAATTGGCACCTCTTTTGGAATAGTCCCCTCGGAGCCATAAAAAGTTTAGCGTTTGAGCTATCTCAAAGACTCTATTACCGGTGACACAAAATACAGTGCCACATAATGAGTGAGAGTGGCCACTGGCATGGCAGTCGCAGAGTGCAATCCCTCACGCTACAAGAGCAGCCTCAAGACTACACTCTCTACGGCCCCGTGGAGGCTATCCCAAAAGAGGTGCCAACTCTTGGCGCGGAGGCACGAGTAGAAGGAGGGGAGAAAAAGAAAAAGAAAAAAACACAGAAACCCCAACACTCTCTCGCCTTTCCGAGGTGTCCGACCTCTACATTTATGATAGCACCTCGGCAATTACCCTTTTCGGAGATATTATACGGTGCCAGTGGAGTACCGTAATAGTACTGTACCGAGGCTTACTAATATCATATCAAGTCAGGCCAATCTCGCCAACAACGAACCGACAGCCGGTCAGTTAGATTTGGGGCCTGTTTGGCGGGAACGGGTAGGCGGGTCGACCGTTCCGTTCGGTTCAGTTGATGAGTTTACCTGGGGAAATGGCTGTACAGTCGCCCCTGGCTATAATGAACCTCGCTATAGTGAACGGGGGCTGAAAGGAAAGACTGTGATTGGTGCATGAGCTGTCTTGCGGCCTTGCTATTGGCTAATCTCTATAGTGAACAGTGTTTTTTGCGTTCACTATAGCCAGGGGCGACTGTACTTGTATTGGCACATTCATAATGGAAAGGTACCGGTCGTTTGTATACCGTGGGTGTTCCGGACCGGAACAGTCATATCCAGACAGACCCTTAACCTTTCTTTCTTTCTTTCTTTCTTTCTTTCTCCTTTCTCCCGGCTTGCAGATGCAGAAAGAAAAGGGTGTGGCACTAATACAGTATGTACAGTAGAAAGTGCTCGTTGGTAGGTAAGCGACGAGGTTTACTCGTATCATACCGTACGTAAGCACAACATATTCTCGGAGTTTCTGGAGATAAACACAACGCTCTTCGGCACGATTTATCCGAGTTTTTTTTCTTTTCTTTTCGGTTGCGGGGTGTGCCAGTCTATGACGTCCATTGTATCTACACTCCGCCGCTAGAAGGAGTCCGGCCCATGATAGTCCGACGGAGAAGGCGCCACCTGCCGAGGTCAAAGGGGGAAAGGTAAAAAGTTTTTTTTTTTTTTTTTTTTCGCTCTCATGGTTGTTGGTTTGTTGGTTCGCTTGTTTGTTGGTGGTCAATCCAGCCTTGCTGCACCCACATGGGGGATCTCGAATCGCATTTTACGTTATGGTGGGATAGCGATTGTCATGCTGCGGGTAGGCCCTGTGCCTAGGAAGCTAAGGGAGGAGGGTGGATGCTAGTGCCGGATGAGCGGCCCAACTTTTTGGTTGATTCATGTACAAGTATATATAAAGGCAATGGAAGGATAGCTTCAGGGTTTTCGCATAGCACGCTCGTACAGCATAGTATACCGGTAGCCATATACAGCACTGGTAGGAGTTGAATTCAGGTTTATCATAATTGACTACCACTGCTGCTGCCACCTTCTTCGGTGACGGCACCAATCCTAATAATATTATAATGGTGGACGAAAAAGAGCCCCCCATGCCCTCCTCACCTTCACTACCACCACTACCACCCCACGAAGCTGCACCACCATTGCAGCAAGTCGACACCCACAGCTCGACGGCAACAACGGCTGCAGGGTTGAGCTACATAGACCTGGAAGCGCAAAGCGGCAAGCGCAGCCTCGACAGGCGGCAATCCGTTTCCTCGGTGGTGACGCAAAAGGATTATGTCGGGGACATCCTTCCGGAGTGGGAACGCTCGCTGCGGCGACAGGAGACGCTGCAGAGGTTGCGCACGGTGTACTCTCGCCAGACGGAGAAGTTGGGGGAGTTGGATGCGCCAGCGGATGCTTCGGAGTTTAAGGATATTGATAAGGAGCTGATTACTTGGTATTACCCCCTCCTCTTGGAATGGGTTTGTCGGCCGGACCGTTGGGTGTGAGTGATTGCTGATGAAGCAGCAGGGATGGCCCCGAAGACCCGGAGAATCCGAGAAACTTCCCCAGTGCCAAAAAGTGGAGGATAACGTTCATTATCTCGCTGTACACTTTTGTTTCGCCGTTCGCGTCGAGCATAGCTGCTCCCGCGGCGCAAGCATACGCTGCTGAGTTTGGAATTACCAACCCTACCATAGCAAGTCTGACGGTTTCGGTCTTTTTAATTGGATTTGCGCTCGGGTGAGTTTCCACATCTCCTGTGCAATTGCGTGGGATGTGTTATTGATTAGGAGTGAGTGAGAGATAGCCCATTATTCATGGCCCCATTGTCGGAATTGTTTGGCAGAGTCATAGTCATGCAGGTGACTGCTGTGCTCTTCCTCGTTTTCAATATTGCCTGCGCTGTCGCGAATAGTACGGCGCAGATGATTGTCTTCAGGCTGTTGGCCGGTCTAGCCGGGAGTGCGCCGTTGGCTCTTGGTGGTGGGATTCTTTCCGACATCTGGGCACCTGTGGATCTGGTTCGTGCTATGGCATTGTTCGCACTCGGGGTATGTTTGATATCTCCCTTCCCCCCCTCAGGACCGCGCGGTGCTAATATGGACGTCTCTCCCGTCCCACAGCCCCTCCTGGGCCCCATCTGCGCTCCTGTAATCGCTGGTTTCGTGGTCCAGAGCGTCGACTGGCGATGGGTGTTCTGGGTTCTCGTGATCGTGGGTGGTGTCGCCATGGTTATTGGAATGATTGTGTTTAGGGAGGAGACTTATCCCGGTGCGTGTTCCCTCTTCCTGCTTGCTCAGAGATCTGCCGCAAGGGGGAACAAGACTAACAAATGCGTCAATGTAGTCGTCATCCTGAACCGTAAGGCAGCGAGACTGAGGAGGGAAACCGGAAATGAGAACCTTCATACCGTCTTCGAGATCACGGAGGATATAAAGACCAGTTTCCGGATTGCTATCACTCGGCCGGTGAAGATGCTCGTTATGAACCCAGTGCTGCTGATGCTGGGTCTTTTCATGGCATTCGTAAGTTTCCTCCATCCCCTCCACGCAGGCCGTTATCCGTTCGTCAGAAACTAACAAATACCCAAAGGTCTACGGCTTCCTCTACCTCATGTTTGTCACCTTCCCAGTGCTCTTCCAAGGCCAATACGGTCAATCCATCGGCATCGCGGGCCTAAACTACCTGGGGCCGGGTGTGGGCTTCATGGTGGGCCTAGCAATCTTCACCCCGCTGCTGCAAAAGACCTACCTAAGACTCACTGCGGCCAACGACGGCGTCGCCAAGCCCGAATACCGGCTGCCGACCCTGCTCATTGGCGGCGTCCTCATCACCAGCGGACTATTCTGGTATGGCTGGTCGGCTGAGAAGAAGCTGCACTGGATCATGCCTCTGATCGGCACGGCGATCTTCGGCGCCGGAATGATCCCCGTGTTCTCCGCCGTGCAGACCTACCTTATCGACATGTCCCCGCGCTACGCCGCCTCGGCTATCAGCGCTGCCACGCTCTTCCGCTCGCTCTTTGGCTTCGCCTTCCCGCTCTTTGGAAAGCAGATGTATGATAGGTTGGGCTATGGCTGGGGGAATTCCCTCATGGGGTTTATCGCCCTACCCTTAGGCATCCTGTTCCCGTTGTTCATTTATAGATATGGCGAGCAGTTGAGGATTAGCGCGGAAAAGAGGATGGAGGAGTCGGATGCGAAGGTCAGGGCCAGAGCATCGAAGAGGGAGACAGGGTCGTCATTGCCTTGAGACAGCTTCCTCTCTTACTGGAGTCATCTTTTTACGTTTCATCTTCCTTTCTGTCTAGACAAGCACAGGTACCGGTATCATTATGGCACAGGGGAGGTGTTTTTCCTGTAAGAACAGGGATTATTTTGCAGGTTAACCTAAAGGAACGGTTTACTTACCTTCTACAAGTACCAGTATTATATTGCCCTTTTTTTCTCTTTTTCCTTTTCTTTCTCTTTTCTTTTTTGTCTCATATCATCGTCACCATTAATCCCTCGGCCTAGTTTGGCCCGGCTTGGTTCTGGAGTTGTGGTTTTTTAGCCTTTTAGATTTTTTTTTAGATTTTTTTGCATGTTTTTCGTTTCATTGGATTAGGTTTAGATACCGCACTCTGTTCTGCACAATTGGTTACCGCATGTATTATATAAAGAAACCCGGATGAGTTTCGCCGTTTGTTTCATAACATCATACCCCTCCCCTTCTCCCTTCCTCTCCTGACAGATGTCGGCTCGATGGAGGGGGGGGGGGGAGGGCTAATAGAAAATTGAGTTACTTACTTTCTCTTCCCTCTCACCTCTCTCTGTGCCTGCTCATCGATACTGCTTCGATGTGAATAAATGGATGAAGGACCCACACGAATGGTACAGTCGGTAGAGGAGAAGACAGGAGAGGAGAGTGCCAAGGATGTGTAAGGTATGAGAGCCTACCGTATGTGCCTGCCTGCCTTCCTACGGGGTTTGCGCCGATGGTATGTGCGGTACTGTACGAGTCTGATACTCGGCCGACGGCAATGCCCCAGACTGAAAAAAAAAACTCTTCCCCTGCCCTAACTGGGCTGTAAATAGGATAAAATAGAAATAATAAAAATTGTGCTTGTGTATGATACTATACCAGTACTGTACAGGTACTCTTAATTCTCACCACCACCACCAGGGTCAAGGGTCAACAAATAGCCAGCGGGAAAAAAAATATTGTGGACAAGTTCGGTAACAGCTGGTCCTGCATACCGTATTTTACGCGACGCACAAGATGATATGCAAGCGATGAACAAAACAAACGATTGATCAACAACCGCTGGCGGAAAGGGGGAAAGAAGGAGAGGAGGGAAGCGCTGGCTGACTGACGTATGTAGCGCCCTGCCCTGCCGGTTCTGCAATGTACTGTACCGTACATGCTACGCTATGCGATGCTATGCAGACATACCTGTCCTGTCCACAATAGAACTGCCGTCCCCTAACAAAGCTTTGTTCGTTCAGCACGCTGCCTGCCTACCTGCACCATGAAGAGCCGGTCGGTGCTGCGCCGACCGCACATATTGACAGTGCGTGCACAGGGAAGAATAAAGAGGGGTTTTTTTTTTTTTTGCGTGGTGAAAAGTTGTGCCCGGGTTTTGAATTGGTGGGAAGGGCGGTGTTTGGTGGGTTTTTGGTCATGCTTTTTTTTTTGGGGGGGGGGGGGACTCGGGGGAGGGGGGGAGGGGGGTAGAGAGCACTCGCCGTGGTACAGTAGGTTTTCGGGCTGTGAATTCCGTGAGTGAGTGCTTTTTCCAAAGCGGTGGAATAGAGAAGGAAGGTGAGAGAGGGTTTCCGAGAGAGAGAGAGAGAGGGAGGGGGAAAGAGAGAGGGAGAGGCGTATATAATAATCACAACGAAAGGGAAACGGTAAGTAAAGGTAGACTATGATACCGTAACATTGATTTGGGTCGGGATGCTGTTGTGGTAACGAACGCTCTGCTCGCTCATGCCTGACTTGACCTGGTTCCCTTACCTAAACTTGACTCGCCTACCTCGCCATCTCAGATTGCCGGTACGAGTACAGTAGTCTACCGTACCGGTATGATACACTGTACCCACTCGTACTTACCCACCCACCAGGCCCTACGCCACCCTACCGACCCTCTTCACTTCACTTTTTCCCTCACCTCACCCATCTTCCCATCACCAACACTCATTACCTACCCACCAAACCCACATCACCACTTTCAACCTACACCCGGCTCACTCACTCACTCACCCACCATCGCCCAAGAATAACAGGGCGGGTTGCTATAACCAAACCAACCATTATCTATGCAGCACAGGTATGATGACTTCAGCCCTACACCACCCCCATTCCGATCTGCCTCCTTCCCCAAACCGCTTTGCGAGATTGACCCCGGATACGAATAGCAGAAGGCGAGAGTATCATATTGTGATTCTTGGAGCTGGTGAGCCTTCCCCCTCCCCCCTACCCTATTGTATTTCCCTTGGGCTGGGGCTTATGGTGGATGGTTAGGCGGTGTTGGGAAGAGTTGTTTGACATGTTTGTTTCCCCATCTATCTCTATCCCCTTGCGATACGCTGTTGGATGGGCGTGGAGGGAGGTGCTGAAGATCGCGGGCAGCGCAATTCGTGCACAACGAGTGGATCGAGTACTACGATCCTACCATCGAGGATGTCTACAGAAAGGTTATTGATGTTGATGTTTGTCTTCCCTTCTATCATTCCTGACTGACCGGTCATGAGCTAATGAGTGGGATTGCATCTTTTTAAGGGACGGTCCTGCATTCTTGAAATGTCAGTGTCTTTCCTTCCCCCCTTCTTCGCCATCCCGCCCCCCGTTTGTTTTTGCTTTAAGCCCGATTGATTGATCGATTGGGGTTGCTGATTGTTTGGATGATTAGCTTGGATACCGCTGGGACGGAACAATTTAGTTAGTGGGCCTTTTCCTCTTGCTCTCTTCTTCTGTTCTTCTCTCTTCCTCGGGATTGTGATGGATGGATGGATGGATGGTGGATGCGAATGATGGGATTGAACTTTTCTTCTTTTTTTTCCCCTACCTTTTCTAACTGGGCTGCTGGGAATTGCGAGTAATAGCCGCCATGAGGTGAGTTTTTTTTCTTTTTTCCTTTTCGCCCTCTCATGCTCGATTGCTTCCCCCGATTTGTATTTTGGTTGACGATTGTTTATCAGGGAAATTTACATGAAAGCTGGTACATTATAACCTCACCTCTCCTCCCTCATTCCCCCGAGTCAAATATTTCTCCATTAGAACTAACCCTCGGCACGAATTTCCCAACGACCAACAGGCCAGGGCTTCCTCCTCGTATACTCAATCACGAGCCTGAGTACCCTCACAGAGCTTTCGGATCTCCGCGACCAGATTCTCCGGATAAAGGAAGCCGACTCGGTGCCTCTAGTGATTGTTGGCAACAAGTCTGATCTGGAAGAGGACCGTGCGGTTCGTCGCGACAGGGCGATTATGCTCTCGCAGAAGTGGGGGAGGGTTCCCTTTTACGAGACTTCTGCGCGAAAGCGGCAGAACGTGGATGAGGTGTTTCTAGACCTTTGCCGGCAGATGATGAGGGCAGATGCGGGCGGGTCGGGGGGTGGGGGGGGCGCGAGCGGTGGCGGATCCTGTGAGAAGGTTGCGCAGACGGCGAGGAAGAAGAGGAGGTTTTGTGTTATACTGTGAAGAAAGAGGAGGGATACTGCTGGACTTTTTATTCTTTTTCTTTCCCTTAACCTTTCGTTGTAGATATGCTTTTTTTCCCTTTTTTTTTTTTCATTCCCCCCTTCTTTTAACCTCCCAGCTCCCCTTTCCCTTGCTTCTTTTGGCTTGGATTTTCCCGGTACCGCCATTTGTGTATGGGGTGTTAGAGGTAGACCCACGGAGGAACGGAAAAGAAGCGAGCAAATCAGGAAAGCGTTGGACCAATGGACTGGGCTGGACTGGACTGAAACCGAATATGGGATTGGACTATGGACTATGGAAATGGTTATGGATGAAATGTGTTTTTAGGGTGGCATAAGGCGAATCACTGGCGTCCCGATTGTTTTTTTTTGTTTTTTTTACTCTTGTTTTCCCTCGCTTTGTCAAGTCAGTCCCTATTTTGCCGTTTAAAATTTCGTGACATACTTGCTTATTCTCTCTTTCTAAATTTTTTTTTTTTTTTTTTACAATTGATATCCATTTTCCAGAGTTCCCCAAAAGGCATGTTCCAAGGAGATGATGGGAAGAAAGATAAAGATGGCAAGGATTAGACAAAGCTTTATGCGATAACGGCATCTTTCTACATTCTAAAAACCCCAAATCTGGTATCGGACTCTCTAACACTCCCACCCATGGCCGCCCTCAGCCCCAGCCCTAGCATGGCCCTAGTATCCTCGGGCGCAATAACGCCATCATCCCACAGTCTGGCGGAGCCAAATACAGCTTCACTCTCCCCCTCGATCCTCCCCTTCAAGCCCTCATCCACATTCCTCCCAACGGTCCGCATGACGGCATCCAACTGCTCGGCACCCATAACGCCGACGCGCGCGTTCGGCCACATCCACAGGAACCTCGGCCCGTATGCCCTCCCACACATGCCATAATTCCCCGCGCCATACGAGGCGCCGACCACGACCGTGAATTTCGGAACATCCGCGCAAGCAACAGCGTTAACCAACTTCGCCCCATTCTTGGCGATACCCCCAGCCTCCGCCTGACTGCCAACCATGAAACCGGAGATGTTCTGCAGGAACAGCAACGGGACCCGACGCTTCGCGCACATCTGTATAAAGTGTGCGCCCTTCAGCGCGCTCTCGGAGAAGAGTATGCCATTGTTGGCGAGTATGCCGACGGGGTAGCCGTGTATGCGCGCGAAGCCCGTCACCAGACTGGTGCCGTAGTCACGTTTGAATTCGGAGAAGGCGGAGGAATCCGTTATGCGGGAGATTATGTCGTAGGGGTTTATCGGCTTGCGGAGGTTTGTGCTTGCGATGCCGCTGAGGTCCGATGGGTCGTATAGCGGGTCCTTTACCGTCGGCGCTTCCACGCTGGCCATGGTGGGGTAGTTTAGGTTCGCGATGCAACGCCGTGCTAGCACCAGTGCGTGGGCGTCCGATACCGCAAGGTAGTCCGTTACGCCGCTGACTTTTGAGTGTAGGGATCCGCCGCCGAGGGATTCAGCCGTTACTTCCTCGCCCGTGGCAGCTTTCACCAGGGGCGGGCCGGCGAGGAAGATTGTTCCAGAGTTTTCTACGATTATAGATTCGTCGGACATGCTTGGGACGTATGCTCCTCTATACACACACACTGTTAGTGGGGGGAGATAGGGGCGGGGTGGGGTAGGGAGATACCCGGCAGTGCATGGGCCCATTACTACGGATATTTGGGGAATTCCGTCGGCAGACACTGAGTATCACTCGGCGGTTAGTCTTATATCGGGCTTCAAGTGTTAGAAGGAAGGGAGGAATTGGGAGGGTACTTCTAGCTTGATTGTAAAAGATACGGCCAAAGTGGTCGCGGTCCGGGAATACGTCTGCCTGGTGGGGGAGGTTCGCACCACCAGAGTCGACGAGGTAGATACATGGTAGTCCTATTCCACCAGTAGATGAGCAATTGAACAACCACCAGAATGGAGATCAGAGGAGAGGGGACCGACTATTTTCCTGAGCAATTGCTTGCGCACGAATATGCTTCTTTACAGTTATCGGGTAGTATGTTCCTCCTTTAACTCTACCCGTTCCTTTAGCACAGCTATTCTCGTGATTCATGTAAGGGGGAGGGGGGACACGTACGTGCTATCATTAGCAACAATCATACACTCCACTCCGGAAACCCTTCCAATCCCGGTGATTATCCCTCCGGCAGGGACGTCCTCCCCAGGATACAACTGATGCCCCGCCAGCGGTGACAATTCCAGGAACGCCGATCCGATATCCAGCAATGCGGTAATACGACTTCCACCCACCGTCACTCTGTTAGTTTCTCCCTCCCTGAAAAACTAGCAAGGAAAAGAGGATGAGAGGGAGAAATATACTCCCTCGGCAGCATCTTCTTCCTCACTAAATGCTTCTCTCGCGCCTTCTCGGGCCCACCGAGTTTTATGCGCTCGTGGAGGGAGCGCAGGGAAGAAATGATTGCCGCCATCTGTGCGGCATTTCCTCTGAATTCCGGAGACGACGTATCCACCGTGCTGCGGATTGTGGAAACCGTGGATTCGAAGTGTGGGTGCGAGTGGGTTGCTATTGTGCGGGCAAGGCTGGTGTGTTTGAATATGGCAGTGGTGGTGCGAAGCGGGAAATGGGGGAACCTCCGGAGACGGAGAGGGCGGAACATTTCGGTGGTTGTTGGTGTTATGCTCTTGTTATGAAGAGGGGGGTAGGAAGGTATGATAGGATGAAGAACCAAGAGGATTATTTATTTTTATGCCGTATCATACCTGAACGGTAGGGGGTAGGGGGGGAGGTACTAGCAGGTAGTGTTTACGATGTTGAGGGAAAGTAAAAGACTTATTAGAAGATGAAGGATAACCCCGGCTCAATACCACTTATCGACTACCAGGAACCTACAGTACTATGAGTACTCGAGTACAGTACTCGTACCAGTTAATTAGTCGAACGGAGAAACATTGTGGGGTGCGCTTACTGCCGATTGTAGCCGCATACTAGGATCGTACCGTATTACCGGTATACCTTTCCCCTGTCTCTGCCGAGTGAGGCTATAGCTTCGACTGACCATCTCCAGCTGTAACGACTGCCACCACCACCACCAACCTACTATCGTAAATCTCCCTCCGTTTCATAGTCACACGATCAGACCCTGCACGAACGAAATAAGAAGTGAAGGAGGAGGGGAAGAAAAAAAAAACATGCTCCCACTATCAATATTTACCCGCTCGATGTTCGCCCGGAGAGCTGTGACCTCCACACACCAGGTAATTGCAAGACCATTATCATGTCGTTTCGCCTCTACAAAGCATACCAAGAACTTCAAACCACCCACCCCCGACGATCTAACCGAACTTCGAGAACGGGTTCAGGAGTTCACCAGTCCGTTCCCCCCCCCCGCCCTTTCCAACCCCAACTATCCAGCTAACTATCCCCCTATAGAGCGTGAAATCCCCGAAGAATTCGCCGCCGCCGTGGACCGCAAGAACGAATTCCCGGAACCAATGTGGCGCAAGCTCGGCGAAGCCGGCTTCTTGGGTGTCACCGCGGAGGAGGACTACGGCGGGCTCGAGCTCGGGTACCAAGCACACTGCGTTGTGATGGAGGAGCTATCCCGAGCCTCGGGCAGCATCGGGCTCAGCTATGCTGCACACTCGCAGTTGTGTGTGAACCAACTCACGCTTAATGGGAGTGCCGAGCAGAAGGGGAGGCTACTACCCGGTTTGATCTCGGGTGAGAAAGTGGGCGCGTTGGCTATGAGTGAGCATTCGGCTGGTAGTGATGTTGTTAGCATGAAGAGCCATGCAAGGGAGGTTGATGGAGGGTGGCTGCTTAACGGGACGAAGATGTGGATCACAAATGTGCCCATTGCCAGCCATGCCACGCTTGGAGATATATGCTAATATGAGACTAGGGACCAGACGCAGACGTAGTAGTAGTATACGCAAAAACCGACCCCGAAAAGGGCTCTGTATGACACCCCCCCTTTCCTCTCCCCCCCCCCAACCAACTATCACTAACGGCCCCTCAGAAGGGCATAACCGCCCTCATACTCGAAAAAGGCATGAAGGGGTACACCTGTGCGCGCAAGCTTGACAAACTAGGCATGCGTGGCTCAAACACCGGAGAGCTAATCTTCGAAGACGTCTTCATTCCACACGCGAACCAACTCGGCCCGACGAACAAAGGCGTGCGCGTGCTAATGGAAGGCCTAGACCTAGAGCGCCTGGTCCTCTCCGCCGGACCACTGGGACTGATGCAAGCGGCACTGGACATAACACTACCATACGTCCATCAGCGCAAGCAATTCGGGATCCCAATCGCGCACAACCAACTCATACAAGCGAAGCTAGCGGACATGCACACGAAGCTGTCCGCCGCGAGGGCGTATACGTTTGCGGCGGCCAGAAGGGTGGACGAGGGCGTTATCGATACAAAGGATTGCGCCGGGGCAATCTTGTTCGCGGCGGATCGCGCGACGGAGTGTGCGCTTGATGCGATCCAGTGCATGGGCGGGAATGGCTACGTTAACGAGGTGTCGGCCGGGAGGTTGTTGAGGGATGCCAAGGTACGGTTTTACTTGTTTGTTTATGGCGATCACGGCGATGAGGGCCAGCTGCTAATATAGGGGCTGGGCGGTAGCTTTACGAGATTGGCGCGGGCACTACGCAGATTAGGCATATTGTTATTGGAAGGGCATTCAATAAGGAGTATGCCGATCAGGTCATCTAGGCCCCCGTGTTGAAGGCGCGTTTGTAGAGAGTGTACCGTTACGCTAGACGCATGATTTTCCACATCGGTCTGCTTCGTTTGGCGTTGTCCATAGGCTACCACTAGTCCTCACCTTCCCCATTCCTTTAGGCTACTCGTGCAGTACAGTACTCCAATTACCAATCACAACAAATCACTCGAAGCACCATTCTCTGCCCAGGATTCCTAGACCGCAACCTAGTCCAACACAACAAACACACCCACTTAGCATGAATAGCACTATAATATATTTAAAATCATAGCAGAGCTACGGAGTAGATATCCTCCTAAAACCACATCGCCAACCAACCTAATCAGCGAAGTGGGGAAAAGAAAAAGAAGGACAACAGAAAAGAAAAGAAAAGAAGCACTCCCATTGATCTAACACAGCCAATCCCATGCCATTCGATCTCTAGCTTATCCCGTTTCGCCCGCCTGCCCGCTACGAGCAGGAGCATTAAAAGTAGCTAATGAGAAGAAAGAAAGAAAAACTGCAGCCCAAAAAGCGAGAGGGAAGAATGGGCGGAAAAGACTCCTCACTACCGGTAGAAGACAGGACAAGCTCCTACTAAATAAATGGCTAGATGATGAATTGTAGAAAAAGGGGAAGGGAAGAAGAGTGCTGTCGAAAGTAAGGGTATACGGCGGGGGGGTGAACGGAGCAGGCAAGAAATCAAGAAATCAGTCGGTTGAAAGAGTCTCATTCCCCTCGGTGGAGGGTTTCCGCTTTCTAGTATCGAGCTTTGGCACTTCCGCACCTCGCTCGGCCTTTGCGGGACTACCCCTCTCCCCCTCGATGATGACTGTGCCGTTCCTCTTTTCTTCCTTGACCACGGGTACGATGACTGTAGCATTTCCCCTACCCCCGGTGGTAGTGATAGGACTTGCTCCCGTGGTTCCCTCCTTCCCCCTCCCCCCATCCTCCGTTTCATCCTCTCCCGCCCCCGCCAATGTGGCCCCAACACTAACCCCGACAATCCCAACCCCCTTCTCTTCAATCTTCCTCCTTTTCCTCGGGGGCATTCTCCTCCCCCCTCCCCTTCCTCTCTCCACTACACCAGCTCCCGCAACCTCATTCTTCTTCCCGCCCACCCCACCAGCCTTCCCGCCACCACCAGCCATGCTCGGAACAACAACCTCCTCCTCATAAAATTCTCCATCGGAATAATACTCTTCCCAATCGGAATGGTACTCCGTGGTGTCGTAATCAACGTCGAACTCGTCCCATATAGGGTCGCCCTGGGCGAAGGCGGTTTCGGCCATGGCGTCTACTAGGGCTGCCTTGTTTTAGTTAAATGTTAGTTAGCCTTGACCCTGCCGGGGGCGGGGGAGGCGGTACCAGGTCGTCATCCTCGTAATAGTCGTCGTATTGGGCGAAGTCGTCCGAGTATGTATCTGAATAGCCGTCGTCGGACATTGTTGGTTAGGAGGAGGGCGGGGGGAGGCTGAGTTGAGGAAAGAAGAGGGTGGGGGATGGAGGGGCTTGTTGTGGGGGGATGGAGGAGGGGGGGTAGCGAAGTTACCCTACTTGGGGCGGAAGTATCGTGATGTGGTAGGGAGCCCGCGATGTTGTGGCAGATGCGAGAGGGTGAAGAATTCCTCCGCAAGGGAGATTATTAATTGACTGGTGGATGGCTCGTGGGGCCAGTGAGTGCTGTGATATCACGGATTGCGCGATGGTACAGTAAACCTGTGAGCGAACGTATTTTTCTTTCCAAACGGAGGCGAAGGCCCAGGGTTCCAGACAGGTAGGAATGGAAGTCAAGAAGGAAGGGCAAATGGGGAGGAGCCAAGGAAGGAAGAAAGACAGATAGATGAAACCAAGGATGGAATGGGTGTGGATATGAGTGATGGGATGGTATGGAGAGGTTGCCCCGGTTAGAGGACGGGATGAGCCGTTGAGCTTGGGATATCCTGGCGAAGAGAGAGCGACCCGCGTCATAGTATATCATGTCGTTTTCGTGTTATAGCTTTAAGCCACCAAAGCACCGTTGCTACACAGTACGGTATAGCGTGATGGCTAACAGCAGTCTAGAAGAAAAACGAATGCAGTCCTATGATCGTATCTAAGCTATATCGCAAACTCCTGGGGAGCAGCCGGAACTCCCCTCCAAACGGGGCACGATACCAACCTCTCTCTGCCAACCGGCTCTTCGCCACCACGTCCATTCCCCGAAAATACCCACACACAAGCAATACAACAGCGTGCATAACTTAAACTGAAAGCTCTCCTCCGCTTGTAGCCGCACCCACCACCCCCTTCCTTTCAACCTCCAAAACGACCACCTCCCACCTCCGAGATTCAAGTCCTTAACTTTCCCTACTCATACTGTACAGTACAGTTCACTGCACCTGCTTTGCCTCCCCTTCATTCTAGATATTTTATTTTATTTTATTTTTTGAGAGTGAAGTGAAATGCCCCGCCCACAGCTTGCTCGGCGTGCCCTGCTAGGCCTGACACCATCCACCCTTCGCTGGCAAAGCAGTAGGGTTCCCAGAGTTCGCCCGCTGACAAGTATACTCATTGCGAATCGTGGGGAGATCGCATTGTATCCTCCCCCTACAGCTCTGAATTATCCCTCCCCTTGGAGCGCACAGTAGTTTGTTAACAGAAGGCGGTACAGGAGAGTCAACCGCACAGCAAGCGAATACGGCATCCGAACGACAACGGTATACACAGATCCGGACAAACATGCACAACATGCGAGCGTGACGCCGCATTCCGTGAATTTAGGACCGCCGTCGGCCTACCTTGATGTAGATAAAATTATCAAGGCGGCGAAGGAGAGGGGGTGTGATTCTATTCATCCTGGGTACGGGTTTGTATGTTCTCAGTCCCTATTTCCACCTCTGAGTTGGGTTTCGGGAGCGAGGGAAGAAGGAAAACTAAATAGGGGTGGGAGGGGATTAGTTGAGTGAGAATTCGGCGTTCGCGAAGCGGGTTACAGAGGAGGGTTTAATATTTATCGGACCACCGTCTACGGCAATTGAGGCTATGGGGAATAAGAGGTATTTCCGCAACTCGGAGAAATTTACAGTTGCGGTTATTGACGGGAGTCCGATAGCCAATCTAAAGACATTATGCTCAAAGCTGGAGTTCCCTGTATCCCGGGTTACCATGGCTCAAATCAGGGCCCAGACTTCCTTCTCCAAGAAGCATCAAAAATCGGCTTCCCGGTATTAATCAAAGCTGTAAAGGGCGGCGGTGGGAAGGGAATGCGGATCGCAAGGACCCCCGCAGAATTCCCGGACATGCTTAATTCGGCAAAGTCCGAAGCCAGGTCTTCATTCGGGGACGAGGTGGTCCTTGTCGAAAAGTACATTACCACCCCACGACATATCGAAGTCCAAGTATTTGCCGATAGCCACGGGAATTGTGTGGCACTGGGAGAGCGAGATTGCTCTGTTCAGAGACGGCACCAGAAGATTCTTGAGGAGTCCCCGGCGCCAGACTTGGACCCCGTTCTCCGGAAGCACATCTGGGATAAAGCTAGAGCCGCGGCACTCGTAGTAGGGTACCAGGGAGCGGGCACCGTTGAGTTCATCTTTGACAATGATACCGGGGAGTTCTTCTTCATGGAGATGAACACAAGACTGCAGGTCGAGCACCCGGTTACCGAAGAAGTGACTGGGACGGACTTGGTTCACTGGCAGCTCCTGGTAGCCGCCGGGCTTCCACTCCCACTCACCCAGGAGCAGGTCGAGAAGCAGATGGAAGGCCACGCATTCGAGGCGAGAATATACGCCGAGAACCCAGACATGGGATTCGTCCCAGACTCGGGAGAACTGGTCTACCTGCGCACGCCCAAGACCTCCCAGACAGTGCGGATAGACGCCGGCTTCGGCGAAGGCGACATCATATCCCCCCACTATGACCCCATGATTGCAAAGCTCATCGTGAAAGGCCCGGACCGAAAGGCAGCACTGGCGAAACTCCGCGCGGCCTTAGAGGAATACGAGGTAGTCGGCCTCTCAACCAACATCGAATTCCTCAAAAAGCTCGCGGCACACCCGGCATTCATCGCAGGGGAGGTGGAAACCGGCTTCATAGACAAGCACAGGTCCTCACTCTTCGCGATAGAGCCAACACCGCCGGAAGTCTATGCCCAAGCCGCTATGTCCGTAATCCTCAACGGGAAAATCCAACAGAGCCCCACAGACCCGTTCAGCATCTGGGGTGGCAACATTGGCTTCGTCGGCAGCTTCCAAGAGCGCATCGTAGAGTTCGTCGAGAGAAGGGGCGGGGTGGAAGCCCGCGTCCCCGTGTCCGTAAAGCAGACAGGGCGGGATACTTACGACCTCACCGTCGACGGGAAAGCCGCATACCCCTCCATAACAGCACACATCTCCCCCCTGGAAAAGTCCAAAGTGGTAGGCTTCTACCCACACACCCGCCTCGAAACGACGGTTGTTAGGAAGGAGGACACGTTGGTTGTATTCCAGCGCGGGAAGCAGTACAAGCTGGACATCCCACGTCCAGCGTGGTTCGAAAAGGCGCTTGGGGTGGCGGATTTGACGAACAGCGTGCTGGCGCCCATGCCATGCAAGGTGCTCAGGGTCTCGGTCAAGGAGGGGGATAGGGTGGCCAAGGACGCGCCGTTAGTGGTTATCGAAAGTATGAAGATGGAGACTGTGAGTTTGCCCATTGAGCTACGGAATCAAGTGAAACGGGGTAAGGCTGACGCGGGGATCTCTTTTACCCCGAACAGGTGATACGGAGTCCGCACGATGGAGTAATTGCTAAAATTGTGCACGGGGAAGGGGTGAGTTTCGACTGACAGTGCTCGGGCTAGCATGCTAACGAATCCACCACAGGACGTAGTAAAAGCCGGGGTAGCGCTAGTCCTCTTTGAAGAAGACTCTGAGACCGGATCTACCGCCGCAGGGGAATGATCGCCAAGCGATCCATCCAAGCGCGCGGGCCATCGTACAGGTCCAGTTGTGCTCGTGTGGTACCTTAGTCCGCCATGTAAAATTTAGTACCGTATGATACGAGTACTCGTACATACCATACGGTACTCCCTCCAGACAAGCTCCGTACCGTCTATTTTATCTTCCCCCCCCCCTCTCTCTACCGCTATCCACACCCGCACCGGGTGTCTAGCGAAACCAATTCTGCTTGTAAACTACAGTACGAGTAGAAAATAGTAACTACCAATCAAATCCGGTATAGCTCCTTTTGTCCTGCGTATCACATCCAAATAAGGAAGTGGACCCTGCACGGTTTCATCATGGGATAGCGCCAAGGAGTGGTCGTTAGGAATACCACCAGCCTAACCAGATCAGAGGTGATCCGCAAAACAAGAATATCCGCACATCAACAAAGCAGGGAAAGCAGGGCAGAGCAAGAGCGAGAGCAAGAGCAAGAGAAGTCAACAAATTTCCCCAGCGGGTGGTGGCGCAATATTTGTAGCAATCCTGCTTCACCAGTGCTGTACCGTACCCCAAGCCGACACAACATGGTACGGTACCGATAGCACAACCAAGCACTCGTCACCGGCGGCGACTGGCTATGCGTACAGCACTGGTACGAGCACCCCACCACGATATAAACACCGATACCTCCCACCCCTCCTTCCTCCACCCAACAAACCCATCTCCCTCCTCCACCCAAACAAGCAACAGAAACATCACACTAACAGAGAAGAAAAAAAACACCCCCCACCTCTTCTTCCAATTCTTCAATTTCAAAATGGTTCAAAAGAACAAGTCCCACAGAACCCCCCTCCCAGATCCCGCCATAATAACGGGTTCCCGATTAACGGCCCGCATCCTCCAACTCCTGATCGCCCTAGTGGCATCAGTAATCTACGGCCGGGACCTCCAGTCGGCGACTAGGGACGACCAGAGGGCCGACTCGCGCTGGGTCTTCGCGGAGGTGGTGGCCGGGATTAGTATCCTGCTCGCGATGGCTTATGTAGTGCCCTTCGTGAGGAGTTTCAAGACGTTCTATTTGGATGGGGTTGTCTTGTAGGTCTTTTTTTTTTTTTTTGCCCCTTGATTTCTTTTGGATTTTGTTTGGGGCTGATGGTTTTCATGATAGCTTGCTTTGGGTCGTCCTGTTGGGCATTTTTGGGGTTTTGTTTGCCAAGGTTGATTGTCGTGGGATGGCGGATTGTCGTAGGATGAAGGGTGGGGTTTGGGTGGATGTTGTGGGGATGTTGTTGTGGTTTGCTACGTTTGTTGGTGAGTTATCATTGCTTGCTTTCACTTGCATGGAGTTCGGCTGTTGACGATTTTTTTTCTATCAGGTGGTGGAATTATGTGGTGGAAGGATAGGCATGGTAAGAGCATTTATACCGGGAGGGGCAGTGTGGCTTAACTTGAGGGCGAGGGGATGGAAGGGATATGAGAGTAGAGAAAGAGAGGGGGGGGGTGGGGGGTAGGCTTGGGCTTGAGATCGCTGGTCGAGGATGGTTAATCAATGGATGGAAAAGCGAATGGATGGATGGATGGATGGGGAACCCGGAGTACTGGCGCATTCATTTCCTCATTTTTTTTCGCGCTCTCGGGATACTAAGGATGTGGGACCCGCTGTATTATAATAATATTATGATATCCCTTACTCGTAGGGGGGGAAGAAGAGATGTGCGGTCTTGGATTGGATTAACCCAAACATGTTGGTGACAGAACCAATAACAAACAAATCCTCAACGCCATCAACCAACCACAAGCCATGAAATAATCCGACAATCAACCAAAGCAACCGGGATACTAGTATTAAAACTATAAGATACACACCAAACCTGCAACCAGTCCCACGACAAAAACGGTCAAGCTAAAGAGGGAGAAGTAGGAAGGAGACCCCCCAAATGAGCCCTAACAATTCAAGCCTTCAAATTCCAGGCAAAAATCCTCTTGAAAACATCATCCCCCCCGCTCTCAATAACATCTCCATGACATGGGATGATGCGATCAACCCCCCACCCCGCAACCACCTTCGCCGAGTCGGCAAAGCTAGGCTTATCCGCAGGGGCGGCATACCAATTAAACCTCTGCTGCCCCTTCCCCTGAATATTCAAAAAGTGGTGGGCAAGTTTGGTCCAGATGCCGCTCGTGGCGTCCATGCCGGACTTGGAGAACTGCTCGTGGGCTGGGAGATTAAATACCAGGTCCGCCTGGATCATCGTCCTCTCGGGCTTGTAATTGAAGACCAGTTCCTTATTCTGATGACTGCGCCGTGCACCACTGCCATCAGTCGAGTTCATTCAAAAGGATGAAGGGGGGGCGGAGTATGTGTCCCTACCCATCGAAATACTCCACATCAAACACACTCCCCAGCTCATCGGGTAGCTTCAAAGAGTGCTTATTATCCTTCGTGTAGACGATATCGATGGGAACGTCTTCGTTCCCTTGCGCCTTGCGCTTCTCGTAGAGCCCCTCTGGCCCGATCACCGTTGCCGAGGCGTACTCTTGCTTCCAGGGCCCCAGGTTCATGTGGTGCTCAATGTCCGAGGCGATCAGGTAGTTGACCCTCCCGCCCATGGATTCGACGGCGGATTTCGCCTCGGTGGTCAGGCCGACGGGGGAGAATACGGCTAGATTTCCGGTTGCGAGTTTTACTATTCCGCCGTTAGTTATTGATATGCAGTTGGATGGGTGTGTGTATGTGTGTACGCACCGATGGTAGCCCTACCGCCAAACTTGACTTTGTTGAAGCGGAGGAAGGGGACGGACAGAATGGTGATGTTGGGGGAGATGGCGCGGATAACCATTGCTGACTCCGGGAATGTTTTCGCCATTGGGGAAGGAAAAAAAGGGGGGTTGGTGATGATGGGGTTGTGAAGTAATAAACTGGTGAGCTGGTGAATTGTTTTTTTTTGGGGGGGATCCTTCGCGACGAGATATGTACTCGAGTATCCTGCTGTGTGTGAAAGAAAGGTGAATGACGTAACTTAATAAGTTGAGCCTCGACCGTTACCACTTATGGGTAGTAAGTTATCAACCTCAAGAACCGGACAAATATGATAAATACCGCTCCCCTCTCTCCCTTCCTCTCCCTTTTATACATACGCCCCTCTCCTCCTCCACCTACGTAGGCCGTCATATCAATCACACCACACACCAGGAGTTCGCAAGCATCCACATCCCCTCCGCCAGGTTAATCGATCGATCACAGGCAAGCGGCTCACCCCAAACACGGAACAAAAGAAACCCCATTTAACCATCCACCGCAATGCAAATCCACGCGCAGATCCGCTATGAATTTGGAATTCCTCTCCCCTAGCACGGCAATGGATACTCGAGCGGTATGATAACGTAAAGCCAACTAGTCTAACCCCCACCGCTCGCTGACATTCGCCAGGTGAAGGGCCCAGCAAGCGAATTACTCACCACGCCGACGCGTTACTAATGCTGCAATGCAGTTCTCGGAAACAGAGCGCTTCCACTTTAGGTTGATTTGGAATTATATTCCGGGGTGCTGAGGGATGCGATGGAGAGTTGAGGTTGGCCCGCGCAAGCGAAGCGAAGGCGGATTATATAATTGGGTCTGGACTCGAGAGACTTGCTTTGCTTTTTTTGTGGCTGTCGTGGAGTGGTTGGTGACGTAATCGCTTTGTGCTCAGTATGATACCGGCACGATGCACAGTAAATTTACAGTACTTGAGTACCGTACTCGTACAGTAGACTACGAGTAGGGTTGCTGTACTCGTAGAGGATGCGATTAGCGGTATCGTAACTTAATGAAATCGGACGGAACGTTTTGTTACGGGTTACCGACTACGGCACAAAGTACGGATACCGAACCCCCCCCACCGGTGCGGCACTCGTCCTTCCAACCCCGCCGCCATGCGGTGTCTTGTCCGAGTCTCGTATCATGTATCGGATAAACATGGCACCGGATGGCTACGGAGAGCCGAAACACTCGGTGACACGAAACAACAGTCAAGCGGACAGCGCGCTTAGTAACCGAAAGCCGGCACAGTACCGATACCGGTATCGTGCAGCTGCCCCCGTTTCGTGTCACTGTGCGTTTCGACTCCCCGTGGCCTATCGTAAAGGTGTCAACAATCGATCCGGTCCAGCTCGGCTCGGTATACCGATTCCCTTGGCGGCGCATTGAGCGCGATAAGGTCCAATTAATGCCGCACGACTATAATATATACAAGTACCTGCACCCTAGCCGCAGCTCATGCGGTTGGCCCGTTGGAAAAAAAGAAAAGAAAAGAAAAGAAAACGGAAAGTGCCCGCTTTCCTGCTGGCAGTTCAATTGACGATATCATTCATTGGGAAAAGCAATGTGGGTTGTCGTCCGTCGGCCCGCTTGAGAACTTGAGAGGTGGGCGGAGTTGTTGGAAATGGAAGGGAAAAGTAAAGAAGGAAAGGAGGGGAAAAAAGTATATGACAGGAGAGGGAAAAGTAAATACCGTAAATAATAAATACGGGTAACTTTATGGTAATTCGACCCTCGAGTACGGTGGGGCAGTCCAAGTTACCTACGGCAGAAGGAGAATTCAAAGGTCCAGTGAACCTCATCACCAAGGATACCAGTACAACACCTCTTGTACCAGTATAGGTAAGCCCCCTGCTACTTGTACTTGTATGGTACAGTGCACTGTGCAGTAACATCTCTCCACGGTTCCATGCTGGATCCATGCAAGGATTCCAGGCTTCCGAAGATGCGCAAACGCCATTCGCCCAACCAAACCTTTCAACTAGGCTCGTCCCAAAAGCCTGGCTAGCCCTGCCTTTCCCACCGGGAAACATCGCGAATCGCAGCGAGTCATTTCTGATGATCCTAGGCTCCTTTTAAACATAACCAATGAGATAAGGTTTTGCTTTCTGCACCATCATCGCCCCCGCCACCAGCATCGTTGACCGCGAGCAGAGATGCAATTGCATTGCATTGCAGAAACTTGACCGGGAGTCCAGCCATCCAGCTCGCGCGACAGGGAAGGGCAGGGCAAGACAAGAACTGAACATCTCCCAACCTACCATTAGACTATCGCGCCCGGATGAATAGATCTGCCCGAAGTCACGAGAGCAGTAGGTACGAATGGTTCCCTTCCCACGACAAATAAGAATGCCTGCTCCGTCCCTACCTGTATCGTGGTGGGAGCTCACGGCCAAGACCAAGCGCAGCTTCCATCGGGGTGGCTGGAGGGGAAGAAGGGAAGAGCACCGAACCAGAGATATAATAGTCAAGAGTAACAGTAACAATAATCTTAATCTCGCACCCTTGGCAATCCCTCTTCAGCTGACGGAACCCCCCCCCCCCCCCTTCTTCAATCCCCAGGACCAACGCTGCGACCAACCCGGCCAAAGAGGAAGCTCTCGTTAGCGTAATCAAAAATTCCAGTGATATCCCTCCCCTCCCCCGCCTTCTAGAAGGTCTTCTCAGTCAGGATCGTTCCGAGCATAGTGACCCCTCCCCCTTAACACCCCTCCCAACTCGCTATAAAACCAATATCAGGCGCAACCCCGGGCCCACACAAACGCTCCAGCCTCTTAATCCCCCATACTAGGAGCAATTATGCAGGGGGGCGGACTGTTGGTGGGCTGAAGCGCCTCATCCATGGTATTCCTTGTTAGTGCCGTAGGATGGGGCAAGGTAGCCCAAAGCGGGGGCGAGGGATGGAACAACGATAGGCCGAGATTGAAGCCCGCTGTGAACGGGGTCGAGATGCTTTTCATCCCCCCCGCTCCCTTCCCCCATTCCCGGAGGGAAAGAAGGAAATGGGTGATTTGCTGTGATACTAGGACGTAGAAATCCGGCTTCCCCTCCCTTCAGGTAGGGTTTAGCTAGGAGTTGTATGATAGCTGTGTCATATCATATTAGCAGATGGTCGGGCTAGGGGCAGTATCATACTATAATAGGCGGAAGCGGTTCCGGGTTGCGGTACGAATGATATGTCTACTCGTAGGTTTGGTTCAGTCCGGCTTGGGCATGGCGGGGAGGCGGGGAAATGACTATGGTATGGGTTGCACCCTGGTGGGCTGAGGAGGGCACCGCAGTATGATACCGGTACCGGCATGTGTAAGAGAGAGGAGGTGCTTTCGCGATTGGACTGGTACGGGAGTACCGGTATAATAACTGCCCAATTTAATGACTCAGTAAGTCTCGGGGCAATGCCATGTAACCCTTCCTTTCATTTTTTCCATTCTTGAACCATTCTCTGAATTCTTTTTTCCTCCTATCCGGTACCCAATAATACCGGCGCACCCCTCACGGCAGTCATGTACTACCGGTAGTGCTGGCACCGGGCACGATGCTATAGATCCCCCTCTCGTGCTTTTCACCCTGTTGTTTGCCCTCTTTATCCGCATACAGACGCATGATACTGCACGATAGCAACGATGGCGATGGTGGCGACGATGATGATGTTATGCAACTGCCTCTCTCACCAACCATTCTATAACATAACAGAGCACAGAAAACAAGAATCAAAGCAAAGCCCCACCATGACCCCTCACTGCATCCCTGCTTACTCTCCACTTTGAACCTAACCTGGCCCAATAACCTACTGCATTCTATAGATAAAGTATTCCCCAGAAACCAAACCAAACCGAAAACCAAGAAAACCCATATCCGAAAGGAAAGGGGATAAATACGAAAAAAAATGAAAAGAGAACTTCCCTCCCGGCGCCTCCCGTGACCAATTAGAATGCTGCAACAGGTTCAATCAAACCCGAAAAGAATGGTGAAAAGCAAAAGCAAAAAGAGGGTTGTAGCACTAAAGCTATGATACCAACAAGAGGGAGAGAAAAAACTGGTATGGTAATCGGTAATATCAGCCGCACCTACGGTACCCCCCCCCCCTGGACACAAACCAAGCACCGGTAGCGGTATCATTGCAAGAAAAGAAAAAAAAAGTTCGAGTGCTGAGAAATAAACAAAAAAAAAAAAAAAAGAACCGATAAAAACCCCATATTATGCTTAAGCCCTACTCCGCAAACGAAAGCATGAAAGTAAAAATATAACCCCACCACCAACATCGCCGCAACCGCACTGAAAAAGCCCTACACGGAAAGATAGAATCGGGCAAGGCAAAAGAAGAAAAAAAGCGGGAAAAAGAAGTAAACGGCCAACTTAAAGGGAAGGAGGGAGCGCAAAAGAAGTAACCGAGGATGCAAGGTGCGCGTCTAACCGCTACCCCGTCGTGTAGGATTCCTCGCGCTCGGGCACGGCGCAACAAGCAACTCGGGTTTCGCCGCGGGAGAATCGGTAAATGGGTTCGAGTAAGCAATCCCAGGATCAGCAGGAGCTGCAGTGGTTCGTCCCATAGACTGCATCATGGTTATCAGCTTTTGAACGACTGATAAATGGAATGGATAAAGAGAGGGAGTGTGTGAGAGTGAGAGTGATAGGTTGATGGGGAAGGTAAGGTTCGATATTAAGTGAGATGAAGAGTAATAGTGAGAATGAGAGTCATACCTTGCATTGATGGCACTTTTCGCCCCAGCTGCGGACTTGGTTCTTGCATTGGTGGTAGCCCTGAGAATTTGTTGGTCAGTATTGCAATACTTTATGTCCTGTATTTGTTATGATGCTTTATCTCTAGTCTCGGTCCGAGGAGGTGAACACGGAGATGGAAGCGGACGGAGGTCTGGGTACTAACGTAGTAGTTTGAGCAGTAGTATGATCCTGAGCCGCTCATTGTGGACTTGTGGGATGGAATTGACGAGGGAGGTTTGTGCAGAGATGGGGGGAATGGAAGAAGGGAGAAAAAGGATCTCTCTTTAATCTAAATGGAATTTTTTTTTCCCTCCCCCGCTTTAAGGAATTTGTGTTGGGAGTTGGAGTGGAGGTGGAGTCGGTGAATATAGTGGAGGTGGTGCTAGTGGTGGTTGGATTGGATGAACGGGATATGTATGATCTCTTGAGGCTTGGTGAGCCGACAGGTTCCTTTTTTTTTTTTTTTTTTTCCCGTTTGCTCGCTTTGTCGCTGCAATTGATTCGAAGAAGTTTGTTTCGAGGAGGACAGTTTCGCCTTGTTTGTGCGTGCGTGCTTGTTCTGGAGAAGCACGGAAGGAGGAGGGTGATTAAATAACTCCGGAGCTGAAGGGAGGCACTCAAGGCACGGTATGTATGATGGATGGGAGGAGTATGATAGATGGAATCTCACAAGGAGAGAAGAGCGAAGGGGGGGGGGGTGATCAGGAGACGGTTTGTATCTATATACCGATATGAGGATGAGGGAAAAGGACCAAAAAGAAAAAGAAAAAAAGAGGGAAGGGAAGAGAAGGGAAAGAGAGGATACAGTGCAGTAGGGTAGTGAATGAGTGAGAAATAGGAAGTCCGAGCGTTACTCTCTACTCTATCATGCCAAAAGCTCAAAGGGTAGAACAAGTAGCCCAGGAGCACCATCATAGCTAGAAGAGCCACTTAGCCCGTAAGTCTAGACTATCGATCCCACATGCCTTCTCACTTATCACTCTGCGGTCTGATACATCTAACACACACACGCACCGTGCGTCTTTGTACGCCTTCGCCCTATGGTCTCCCCTGTATATAGGAAGTCTTACCAAGAAATCCGCTGTAACATGGCATCCCTTGCTCCACCTCACCCAAATTCGCATGGGGCCGGATAACTCTGGGCGGCCCTCCGGGCAAATCAGACCGCAAATACCGTATGTTGCACGGAGGATAATCGAAACTCAGCAACGAACGAACAAAAATAAATAAATAAATAAATACAATCAATCAATCAAGCAAGTGCGGATTCACAACCCGACTACCCGTACCGGTATGATAGCTCAGCAATCATGTCGAGCAAGCAACCGCCATCTTCAAAAAACTTGGTCTCCTTTCGATCAAGAATAAAAAAGGAGCGTCCTACCTTCCTTTTTTTCTGCTTTTTTCTTTTGGCCTATCAGGCACGAGAGATCACCAACTTGTGGCTAAAAGGTAGCTCTGGTGGGTGAGTGACATGAATTTAGGTGAGGTATCATTTTGTAGCTTCGAGCAATGTCCCCTCGCCAAGTTCTCTACTCCAGTATCCATCTCGCTTTCTTTTGCCTGCGCTGGTTATCATTGGCTCCCGGTGTATGCCGGTGCTCCCAGAGTTCGTTGTGCCTCGTGCTTTGGGGCTCAATGCAGCTGGAAAGCCGTTCGTCCGCTCCTTCTTCCCCCCACAAGGCCCTGCCAACCCAACATGGCCCAGTCCAGTCCGGTCCAGTTCTCAAGATTATCTTCTCCGGAAAGGGAGATGGCGAGAGGGCGAAAAAAGTTATTATGATATTACAAGTCAGATGGTTCGGTATTGGATCAAAGGAAAAGTGTAGGGAACCAAAGCAACCAAGTGCAATTCCTTCTTTTCTTTTCTTTTCTTTTCGTCCCATCTCTAACTCCTCGATTCCGGATCAATCGGTACCAGCCTTAACTGCAAATTTATGGCGGCGCCCTTGCCTAACTCCGCCCATGTGCCCTGCACGAAGCCTCGTGCTGCACTCTTGCTGCACTCCATCTTATCTTGCCTCTCCTTCCCTACCAACCCACCCCAGGCGAAATTACCGATCCTTTCTTCGGGGTGAACACTGCACAGTACTGTACGGGTACGGTGCGTAACACTCTCGGGGTGGAGAGAGACCTGGGGCCAGGCCTTGGAGGGATAATGAGAAAGCCGGGAAAGGGATGATTTCGTTGTGCGTACTGATGTTCGAGCACGGTGCATGACCCTTGACAGTCGGGGGGAACAAAGTTTTCTCTTTTCCCCGATCCTTCCAATTCCATAATATTATGGTATTCGCTCTGTGATGAATCGACAGTCCCTCCGGGTTGGTCTACAATCCCCCAGGAGAAGGGTCGGATCACGCGTACTTTCAGCACAGGGCAGCTTGGGTACGGCACTGTGAGGAAATATCCGCCTCTACCTCCACGAAAATACCGGTATATGGTAAAAAGTCTTGAGATCCACTATCAGATTGTCAGCCCACGATAGGCTTAGCTTGACGGGTTAGCACAATTGGAATTACCAGTAAGGAAGATCTGACAAGTCCAGCGTGCTGATCTCATAACGTGTCAGGAAAACGCCAATCCTTCTCAGGGGGTTTTTCCAGTGAACCCGGAGATTGCAGGGTGGGCGGAGATGGCGGATTTTATGGTAGAGAGTGGGAAAAACGAGACTCCACGTTTAATTCTCCACATTATGCGAGCATGGGGGTAGGGAACAAAGAAGGGTAGGGAAAGGCTACGTGTGTGCATCAGAGCACAAGCACCCAAGGGGATGTTCTCATACGGGACAAAGAGTATTTTTACAGGTTAACCTAAATTAACTGTTCATCTCTGGTAACTTTCTAGTGAGTATGATACTATACAAGCATTCGTACCATTTCGAGACAACCCGGTCGACAGTTCTGTGCCCGCGGTACTGGTAAGAAGTTCGAAATTCACCCTCAAAAGGACGTAATTTATCCCCTGGTTTCTTTCTTTCTTCCTTCGTTTCCTGGGGCCGAGCAAAGTGCTGAACTACCTAAATTTACCTCGCTCTATAAGCATCATAATATTATAATACAGTAAGCACCTCATCGATCATTTGCTTACAATACGAACCACCGCATCTCAGCCTACTAACACCTGTCAAGTTGTATAACTTCAGACTCGATGCTAATATTAAACTACTTATACAACTACAACTTGAACTCCTTCTATCAGTACCATCTTAATCACATACTAAGTTAACATCTTATAATGCCAATACCCCCCCCTAACCTACCCCGCCCTCCCCCATCTAGTATCTGCATAGTTGGTAACGCCTGATTTCCTTTTAACAAATAACTGAAAATAGTAGTAGGGAGTACTTCAAGTTGTAATAGTCTACAAGTCAAACACTCTATATTTTGATCCTTTGAGCTTTGTTCCAGGATTCTACAGCTCGTTTAAAATAAGGTATATATATATTTCAAATAGCTGTTTAGTCTATTAGATATATCTTTCTACATCTTCCTTCTAGTATAATTATTGGCTGGTATTCTACTATAGCTTTCCTCTCAATCCCCTTTTAACTAGTACCTTATTCTTTCTACGTTTAGGATATATAGTTGGGCTCAGACTAGATAGTATTAAAGGAGTGGTCTTTTTCTGGGATGGGATGGACACAGGGATTTTTTTTATACTGCAAGTTTTTCTGCATGTAATACTCTCCGTACCCACTCTCATAGCTTAAACATAATAACAAAATGATTGAACAAAAAAAAAACTAAAAACTCGTGTATCTCTAGATCATACTCACCCCGTTGCTAACCAAAACTGATGAGGGTCCCCCCCCCCCCAAAAAAAGCAAGTTTAAACAGGGGAGTTACAATTAAAAGCAAGAAAAAAAAGATAAACCCCACAAAGTATTCATGGCAAAGTATCATACTGATTCACACAACATATCGTACAAACTACTGTAGCTCTCTCTCTCCCTATCTCCACCGACAAAGCAATAAAACAAAAAACAAAAACAACCCATTCCGGCTCTTTTTTTTTTTACCGCAATCCGTTTGTCACATCGCCCTATCCTATGTATGCACCGTATCGGCCAACTACCGGTATGGTACGGCTACAGTCCGGCAACCCCCTACCGAACCTTTATCACTGCAGACTATCCATCCACGGTATCTATAATACAAGGACCGTATGGCCCGGGCTCCTGTGAGCAGTGCGGTACCGGTGCGGCAGACACTCTCACACGATAACCTCCCGGTTCGCGAGTAACCTGCGGGGTACTTGGACGACGCCAGATATGATACCCCAAAAACCGGTACTGCTCCCGCGGCCCGTGACTGCCCAACCTCCCAACAAGGAGTGCCGTGTCGTTGGAAAGTACCGTACGGCTGCCCGGGGAGAAATGCCCCGGTACAGTAGAAGACAGGGGTTGTCCGGCGGGTCAACCTGGTGGAGTGAACCGTTCACAAACTTTCAAAAAACGGACAGTATCATACTCACATACCGGTATGTGAGGAGTGGCCGCAAAAACGGCAAACGCTATACCCGTAGCCTACCGTGTCCTACTGTAATCAATAATGGGGCGTGGTACTTGGCCCTTCCCGGTCGGACAGAAAGAAGGAGGAAACCGTCGTTTCAAGAATCTCCTTCTAATGACATGGATTTACTTATATATTTGTTTGTTTATTTAAACGGGTCGAAAAAAGTCCCTCAGAGCACTTCCCTACCATGCCTCCGTGTATCCCGACCATAGTCCGTATGTTACCTGTATCCTACCGTACTTTGTATCATACAGCACCCACTCCGGGTACCCGGGCACGGGACACGAAGTGATCAAACAAACTCGGGTGTTCTGGAAGAGTCAGAACTGTCAACCTAGTGTATGATACGGGAGTGAAATGGGGAGTATGGATTCGGCTAACGGGTAGGGTAGGGTATGGGAAGATTGCTCGGAGGGGGAGGAGGAGGAGGAAGAGGTTTTGGTATTCCCCTCCTCCATCAGTGTCCCGTCACCTGCTTTCATACCCGAGTGCCAACAACTATCATACCGTACGGCACCAGCATCCCCGCTCCCCCCCATCCCGCTTGAGAGAAGATCGAAAAAAGAGAATTCCATTCCCCCCTTAGCGAGTTTCTGCTCCATCTTGCATGTTGCTGTACGAGTATCATGTGTTGCCGGTAGGGAGCGGTGGGGATTCGACTGGGGTGAATGGGACAAGTTATTTTTTTTTTTTTATCGTGCGAACTACAGGTAAGGGTTCAGTTGTAATAACTTTGTGCTGATAAAGTGCAGTAATGTGTTATTATTGACTGAGCAATATGAAAGGTAAACAACTAACAATGGCTACAGTACCTTGTCCCCACTAAAGTGGATCCAGAAACCTTCCTTCCTTCCTAGGTTATGCCAACGGCTCTGTTCCGTCATTCTAATTCTTCGCATGGGTTTGGGTTGCTATCGTCCCTACAGTATCCTTACTCCAAATGATAGTTCTCCAACCAATACGTGAAACACCTCAGCGGCGGAAAGGAATACTGGCACGCCGGTATTTCCCTCGGTTATCATAGACATGGAAGGCAGTGTCCATAGTCCAGCGGAATATCGCTGTTCCCCCGTTCTCGCACGCCTGACCATGCCGCCCACCGGGAAATCGGTACTACCTACTACAGCGGCACTGAGTACGTCCACTAATTCACTCACGCATCTTTACCAATGGTTCTCCCGTAAGCCGATATCTTCCTAGGAGCCCTCACAAAATATTCGCCCTGTCAAGGCATTCTTGGCAAAGAGGCGCGAGTAACTCAGCGTATTGTATCATACCGATCCTTATCTGATCGAAATCACTCGGGTTCGCCCGATTTCCCTCCCCTCCTTCCAATTATTCGATTCGATAGTGGCTAACTCCCCTTGTTGTACGAAGTCCTCAGACTGAAACTTGTCCCAGTTTCCGGGTTTACTTCGACGACACTAACTTGCTGTTGGTGGTGTAATTAATTAATTTTTTTTGGAGTGGGTGGGTGGGGGCAGAACCTAGTGAGTGAGACACCGAGCTGAGACTTGAGTGAGACCTTGAAGATCCGCTAATGTAGGGTAGGCTGTTTTTAGCTTTGGTTGGAGGTTGGGGGCATCGCTTGAGATGAGATGGGTGAGTGCTTGTGGGCGTGACTGGAGTGGGTTGGGTGGGAGTGGGGAAACATTGGGGAAGTGAAACATGGGGAGGGAGGGAAGCTGTGGGGTTGTGATTGATCTACTTTTTTATTTTTTTTGTGGCTTGTTGTGATGGTTGATGCCGCTGCAGTTCTGCTACTGGTATTTTCCTGCTGCTCGACTACTCGGGTACTCGTACGAGCAGTGTTGCCGTGCGATGGTGCCTTCGGTGTTGCATGGTTAAGGAGTGCGGCAATTTAGTGGACAAGAGAAATGCAGTATGAAAGCTCGTAATTGGATGTGGTGGACCTACGATTTGCCGTACCGGTATGGTACCGGTATGGTGCTTCCCTCGGGCATGTAACTTGTGCTGTTTCTCACCAGGTCTCACACGACCCTTCCACAACCTCTCAATCCCGAAATAGAACCATGATGCCGGTATGTCGCCATCTCTGAACCCCGGGACCACGGGGGCCCAAGCTTTGTCCGTACTTGGCACAATCATGGCTCCCAAAGCCCGAGACATGGACCGGAAAAAGAGATCTCCCGGGGACGATTCGTGATGGGAAGCGATTACCATACTGCTTTTGGCGTAACTGCGGTTTGGTGGAGGGTTTTAAGGCCTCCGTCAGGTGCTATTGGTGTCTCGATGGAATAGTCTGGTGGACCGAGGATACAAGCGTAATGATTTCCCAATCAGAGAGAGAGGAATGTGATGTTTGTATACCGGTATAACACTACCGGTATCCTGGAGAGGTCTTGCCTGCACAGCCGCGGTATTCGGGCACCACACAAACCGACTTGAAGTTTTGTATCTAGAGGTGATAGTAGAGTATATACTGTAGGTACTCTACCGCAGCTACTGCTAACGTACCGTAGTCCCTTGAAAGGGGATTAACCGGTGAAAAGTCCCTTCCCTCCCCCCGGTAGAAATTTCCCGTCACCAAGCTACGGTACCGGTATCGGTTTCCAACCATGAGATGGAGTTTCCTCCAGTTCGTCCCAGTCGGCTGCATATCTTGCCCACGTGATCCCTTACCCCTCATCTTGGGAGTGCATCCACTCGGCATATTCGGGTAGGGCTCTCGTTGGCGCCGTGGGCCATGTAGGAGAAGCACCGGGGAGAAAGTGGTATGTAAGAATGAGTTGGGGTCGGCAGAGTTGAGATGGTTTCGGCCGTAGCCTGCGCGGTACGATATACCGGTACATGCCTTACGAGTGACTTGGGTGTGGCTGACTTAATCTCCCAACAGAAATTCGGAGTCAGGAGGGCATCCGGCAGCAACCTGCTGTTTATCATATTCTACTGCAATATCTTTCCGGCCGAAAATCCGAGCGTGCATACTTACATACATAGAGTGTCTCCCATGCCTGGGCCGCAGGCTCTGGTGTGATTTCTCGCCGTCTAGCTAACGAACTCTCGAATTCACAGACCTCTTTTCGGAATACCGTGATAACCCCTATTCACAAAAAGATGTCAGGGTTCTCGATTTTATGTCCTATTTGACCTCTGGTTTTGTGCTATCGCCAATAGTCAAGTGGGGTCCTGTATGCATGGTATATAATCTGGACTGGAAACCGCGAGGGGAAAACAAGAACTTACACACCGACGAACAAGCAAAGGGCGCCGAGAATACCAAGAATGCAAATATTCGCCTTTGTCCACCACTCGCTAGATTACGTCAAGGTGTTTCACACAGCGGGAAATTGCCTTGAGCGCACTTGGCTTGCACCTAGCTACTTCCCCGAACTGCGCGGGAAGGGGGTGATGTTTCGGTTACCGCTGGAGGATATTTGGAGACGTTGATTTAAGGGTAAACATGGTGGGTGCACTGACTGGCAAGGGCCATCCATTGACTTCCATACTAAATTTATAACAACAGAAAGGTGTGTGTGTGTGCATTGCTATAAATTCTTGGGAAATCAGAGATATGCATGGGAAATACCGGCAGTCTGATAATATGATATATCTGAGTTTGGTGGGTGGGGAAAAATCGGCAGATCTTCGTGGGAAAAGCAAGGGGAGGGGAAAAGGGGACGACGGGACGGGCCGTCTTCTTATCATATCTACAATATCATAGTCCTTGCCGGCGTATCGGTCACGTGAACTGCAAGGGACCCGAATGCATGGCTCCATATGATTACCTGTGGGAGGATCTGGGGCGCGCGAGTATCATACTCTCTGGGTGTTAAATTGTGTAAAAAAATAAGAATAAAAAAAAAAAGAACTCAGTCTAGGACTGCTAGTACAGGTGATGGATGATATACTCGTATTAGATGTTCTCTCGATGGAGCTCTTGGAATTCCTAAAGTGATCTTCCACTTTCATCTGAATTCGGCAGTATAGTATGATACCGGTACCATACTAGGTTCTGGAAATGAGGAATTGGGGTAGCGCGATCTAAAGGCATGGCGTCACTGTAAGTCACTCGGGAATTGTTGATCTGTGAATGGGGGATGTATGATTACTGTGTGATACCTCGAGCATCATAGTTGCCCGGTTTGTTGTACAGTATCACACCCCGAACTTGGGTCGAAACCACAGCACATACTCGAGTACTTACTTAGCCCGGAAGAGAATCCATCTTACCGCTCTATTGGAAAGCTATAGCGGGCCACGTGACCCTTGCCTGAGCTCTTCTGGAGCTATGATACTACAAGTATTTCACTTCACTCTCCACTGACTTGGAGCGGATCTAAAAAAAAACGCAGCTTGAAAGTACAGTCAGACCCTATTCTTTCCCGCCACACCCCCGCTACGTCTGTCCTTCTGGCTCATCCGGCGACCGCCATTTGATACTATAATGCAAGGAAAACAATCTCATCAGAGCCATGAAATTCTGCTGCTACCCGTGGTCCGTCCGTGTGGGCTTCGACCCCTCTACTGATTCGGGCAGGGCATCCAGAAGAGGGATAAGGCGAGCTCCACTCTGATGAGGTAGAGAGGTAGTCATGGGCGCTCAAGCTCGTTTGGGGCGTTGGGCCGATGGCAGATGAGTGAATTTTATTCAAAACAATTTGTATGATAGAGCTTACTTCCTTCCACTTCGCATTCTGTCGCAGGGTATCACTCGGCAAAGTTTCCCACTGACTTGTTGGCAACCGTGATGCTCGCATCGTGGTAGTGGGATGACCGACCCGCGGACGTGTATTTAGCAAGAAATGATTTCGGCAGAAAAGAAAAAGGCACCTCTGATGCCGCAAACGCAACTTCATTGAGATATAATACTATACAATTCACCGGTCACACCACACTATAACGTCCTCCTCTGCATAAAACAACTGCCATCAATACCAATGCAGAGTGAATGCCGTCCGGCACCAGCGGCCTCATCTATTCGACACAATATATAGGAGAAACCCATAATCGCAAAACAATTCCCTACGCCGGGAGGACATCACGTTCAGTCATCTCTAATTGAAGAGGACTTTCACCCAAATATCCAACGCATGTTTGGTAAACCATTGCGGCGAAAAGGGTATATATTCCGTAAACAGCAAGAAGAATAAAAAGGGGGGGGAGGGGAAGACAAAAGATAACCATTTGAGAATGCCTTAGTCCCAGAACTAAACGCCAACAGAACAGGAAATGAAATTTGGAAAAGGAGAAGGAAAGATCCACCCCACCACCTAGTTCCCCCCCCCTCATCACTTTAGAAAAAGAGAGCCCTATCCGTCATAACTCATCGCTCCTTTCTTCCCAGTCTTTGTCGAGTACAAAAAAGAAAATAATAATAGAAAAACACGGACATAATTACTTGGGTTTCAGTACCACCTTATTATTACCCAAAATCAAAGCCTGGAAACAAGGACACATTCTTAAGACTGACGAATTATCGGGTGAAAGTAGCCCATTCTCCGTCTTTAAGGTTTATAGAACCATAAGTTATATCACCATCACCTCCCTGGCCCACCAATCCCGCGCTGCGCATTGGCTGCCGTCTAGATCTTTTGCCGAGACCAAAAATCTAGAGATGCGATAACATCGTCGCCGCTTCCCTCGTCTTCGCATGCATATAAGATCTGGTCATCATCAGTATCATTTGGGGGTAGGCGATAGTGAAGGAAACTCAATTACCTCACGGGTAGACTCATGGAGCAGCCGAATGTTTTTTCCAGTGACAATGTGAACCAGCCCGCCGGTTTCCACGTTCCTTATTTCGATGAAGCTGGGTTCAAAGGCGAGGAGATAAGGGTAAGAGAAAGCGAAGGCGGTTGGCTGACCTTCCCACGCAATTTGCCAGTCAGGTCGTGCGCGCCATCCATTCCTATTGACGAAGAAGGAGAAGTCCGAATAATTCAACAAGAACTCGCCATTTAATCGATAGATGGCTATCGGTTTGACGTTTTCCTTCCTTTGGAATAGTTCTAATGACGTATCTGCAGGGTCCAGTAACGACTGGGCCTCCAGCGTTTCCAGGCTTACAACCTCAAAGCCCTTAGAACATCCAACGCAAAGTTTTGACTTCAAAAAGTGTATTGAGGTCGATTCAGAGGGGATGTAGAATTCCTAGGGTAAAAATAAAAAAAGGAAAGTCAGTAAGTAATAGTAAGTCAGGAAATAAGGACGCAAACCTTGAATGCCTTCAGTGTATCCTGTCCACCTCGTAGAAGCCCTCGAAAAGCTGGCCGCCCCTTACTACGTGCGAAGGTATCTAAAGGTTCATAAACTTTGACCGTCGAAGACAATGACGAACTCCTGACGCAACACACAAGCACTTTTCCAAGACACACGCCAGCTTTGAAGAAGTTTGTATGTCCTGCTACCTTCTTGGGGCGCTTGTTTGCAAGGGTAGTATCATTGGGGTCCAGGCCCTCAATAGGAATAGACATAAGTGTTTTCTCTGAAAGCAATAAAAGTATTGAAAATTCTTCCAGAACGTCAATTTGATCAACTTTATTAACTTCAATCACCTTTTTCGGGACCGCGGATGCTCCCTCTTTAGGTTTCCGCTCAGAAATATATATGCCACTGTCGGTGCCATAAACAAGTTTTCTACCGCCATCTAATTCGAGGATATTGGTCAAACTTTATTAGAGGGCATTTTCAGGAGGGAACCGGGCTTACCTATGGGCACAAGACAGCTCACTCGGTTTCCCACGTTGAAGAAGTCATCGCAGAGTATCGTTCGGGTAAATATGCTACTACGCTCTCGAAGCACGGATTGCTGTGCCTCAATATGCTCGATCCATTTTCTACGGCTAACAACCGAGGATGCAAATAGGGGAACGGTATAGCCACGCTTTCCGAGGTGCTGGAAGGTGATGGGATAACCCTTTTCCCTTGAATTAAAATCGTTGGGAATATTCCTCATAGTCCTGGTCCCTGGAATAAGACTTGAAGACGGGCGTTTTGAAATTCCTGCCCTGGGCAAAACTTCTTCCATTTGAGCAATAACAAGTAGCTCAAGCGGGATCGGCTGTAAAATTGATTAGTTTTCTCTGTGGAGTAGGAAAGGGTGGTATCGAATTTACCTTTCGGTACACCCTATACTCTTCTCCCTTGTTGACCGACTTTATTCGGACCAAGAGCAATGCATGATCAAACAAGAAAGCTTGAATATCTCCACCACCATCTGGTGCTGCACTTTTCTTAAGGCTTCCCTTAAAAATCAATTGCCTCCCCTCTTCAGTTAGCTTAAGATCGACATGCTCCCCGGGTCGGAAAATCAATTGCCCATTGAGCTGCATAAGATTGAAGTGGTTCTCGGCCTTCCCAGATTCGATGTTTACCCGCGTAAGGAACTCTCGGATAAGTTCAGTGGCCTTTGGTAGGTCTTTCTTGTCGGGGTTGTCGTCACTTGTTGGCCTCATTACTGCCTCTAACAGCAGTGGATATCGAGCGAGGCGGGTTGTTGGCTTGGTGAGGTAACCATTGAGTTCCAGCTTCCGCGATTCCTTCATTCTCTCCGTCTCTTCCACAAAACGGGCAAAATTGGGATTGGCAGCTTTCTCCTTTTCAAACTCATATTTCCCATACAGCTGATTCGAACCATACTTGATAAAAGGCTCGAACAGGGGCACAAATTCGAGAAAGATGTCTCCGATGTTGTGGACAATCGGAGACTGTTGCTGCCTTCGAGTGAGGGCCTCTGCGAGACGAGAGTTGACATTATGGACTTCCAGAACATTTCCAAAGACTGTGCGAATGAACCTCTCACGACGGTGTTCCGGGATAGGTGAGGGGTTTTGGGGATTTGTCGAGCGTAATGGTTTCATCCAGAAGTCTCGAAGATATTCCAGATCCTTCACGAAATCCCGCTCGGTGTAGATGGCTTCACAGATAACCTCCTGTCTCTTTTTTTCCTTCTCCGATACGCTCTCCGCGATCTCTTTAGGCACTGTGTGAATCCACAGCTTCTGTTCCTTGTCATCGTCTCCATGCAAGCTCGACCGGGATTCCTCTCGCTTCAAACCAGGCCGTGGCTGCATGTTCAATCTAGCCTGTTGCTCCAGACGACGGGGACAAGCTATTGAGTAGCAGAGCTGTTTGGGTGTACAAGTGGGCGAGTAACACTCCGTAAGGAGGGTAAATACACCGTTAACGTCATTGTCATCATCAAGCAAGCCGTCTTTGAATTTGTACACCTCCACTTGTGAATCCCGTAACCGATGGTCGTAGGTGACATCGTGAAAGAATTTTTGGGCGTCCAAAGCCCTTCCTAGAAGCAGGGCAAGGCTTCGATCACTAGTCTTAATGATGTAAGAAATCACGTCAACAGCTTCTGCGCCGGTGAAAGCCGATGTATATGCAAGTTCGTTCTTAACACGATCTCCAACAATTATGCACTCTCGCATAGCGTTTGCAACCCGGGACAATAAAGCAGGGTACACGAGTGGCGTACGCTTCACAGGAACGGAGGCACCATTTCCAGGCGAAGACCCAGAATTATTCATTGAGGGCCTTGACACAAGTGTAGAATCCGTGAAAGATGATTTGATAGACGGAGGTCCGGAAGGGCTAAACGCCGCAATGCTCGAAGCGGTGCTAGCAGAGCTTGGCGTCCGTTGCTTAGAGACATAATTGTTTTCCCTAGCCGGCATAGAGTTAAACCGTTGTTGTTCCGGTTGTTGTCGATACTGGCTAGTCTGACTATACTGACTCTCCTGGGAATCCTTCCGGCGGTGAGGGATAACTCGCCCACTCGCAGTTTGGGAAAAGTCCCGGTCATGAGGGTATGTGGTCAGTGACATGGTGCGCTCATCATGCCTCTCCGGTACGATCCTCCCCTGTGCGGTAGTCCTAGACATATGAGGTCCCGACGGTCCAACCCCAGGGCGAGAGAAATGTGGCCCCGGCGGTCCGCCGGAGGGTGAGTACGTTGCTGCCATGGATCTGGAACGATACGGATCCGCATTTAGAGCGGGCGGGGGTGGGTAATACCTGTGGGGAGCTGGTTTTGACATGTTTGGGTTAGGAGGGGGTGCTCCGGGGGGTGGAACAGGCACCCGCTGTGCATATGGCCTCCGTTCGGGGTGCATGGGCTGAGGCGGATTCTGGGGTTGGTATTGTCCCCTGGAGTTGGGGTTGGGCTGTGGGTGATGATAGGCATTGGGGGGAGCTTGTTGATTGTATCCATTGGGTGGATATCCCTGCTGTTGTTGACGGGATGAACTGGCGTATCCAGACATTCCCGGCTGTGAGGACATTGTTTGTGAACGCCCGCTTAACGGCGAGATACCCGATTGAGATGTCATGGTCTGAGAACGGCCTGAGGGAGCAGTGCCAAAGATATTTGAGAAAGCGGCATCACGCTGTGAAGCCGGGGTATGGGGATTGTAAGGAGGCCGATACATCCGCTGGTTTTGTTGATGGTCTCCCATGGTCCCAGAGAAGGTCTATCTGTAAAAAAAGAAAAAAGAAAAAAAAAGACGAAACGTTAGCGGTCAAAGAGCATCTATTGCATGGCCGATGCATATAGCAACTGGGAAGGGCGGCCGGAAGCCTTTCCAAACGAGAGGGAAGGGGACAAAGCTTAGGGAGGGAGGAGAGCACAAACAGAAGTACAATTTTCGACGCTAAAAAAACATGCAGCTATTTGAGAGGGAGGAGTGGAGGGGTAGGGGCCGGGTGGAGATGTTGAGGCACAGAGTTGCGAGATCGATAGAAGGCTTGAGGCTAGGGCATAGGAAACGGCACTGCGGATTGATTGGGGTGCTGAACGAGGAATTTGTTGGTGGTGGACCAGAGAACTAGGTAAAGCTGATTGAGTCGTTACCCGGCCAAGTGCTGTAAATCCTCCTTCTACACCAACAAAGGGTTTTTCCCGGGTTTATTATTATTATTATTATTATTTATCACCGTATTTCCGCTTAACGGAGAACAGCGGCCAGCAATTCCGTTCTATGATAGGAACCAGCAGCGGCGATGGTAAGGTAAGCGTCCCATGGGTACGAGTAGTCTTGAGGCTCTATAGGGACCGTTTCGCTTTCACCCTTCTATTTCATCTTGACTCAGCAAATCTTCATTCCGACATATTGACCATAAGGTGCCTCACTCCACCTGCGCTTATCTGCATAGTATCATATCTTAGAGGACAAATGTTGTATACTCGTAGCGGGCAGTGGGTGCTGCGTTTGGAATACTCGTAGGTGAAAGAAGGGTTGATTTCAAAGAGCACCGATCGAGCGACTACCAGTACCCTATGCAGCGTGGACACGGTAACAGCGGACTGGTATGGGTGTGAAAGGTAGCCCTGGCTGAACGACCGACCACCCACGGTCTCTTCGAGATCAGGTAAATTGAGCTCGAGTGCTGTAAGCCGAGATGGAGGATGGAAAACCTTTTAACATGCCGGTACCGGTATGTGATGCGATGTTCCTGTACTTTCCTGGTTCCTAAAAAGCCACTTCCCCTGACCCCTTTCCCCTCTGATCCCGCTTATTGACAGTGTGCACCATGGGACCTTCTGTCTATTTACACAAAGCGGGGATCCTAGTTGTGCTTGATACTCTGGCTGCAGGGTGTTTATTCCAGATGACCTGCGCAACCAAGATTAACACAAAAAGAAAGAACTTTCCTCTTTGATACCCCTCCTCCTCCTTCGACACAGGAAAGATGATCGATTCCAAAGCCATCCTTGGATCTCGGCACCCATCTCGGCCAGTGAACTAACAGTATCTTTATCTGTATCGGGACTGTACCGCAATGGGCTGCTCCTCTATGGTACTCGAGTACAGGTGGAGTACCGGCACCTCCTGCGTCCAGCATCTCTGTCTCGCCCTCTCGATCTCCTCCATTTTTCTTGCAGGCCATTTTCTCTCACATTCGCATACCGTATTTACTTTTTCTTCTTTACTTCTTTTTGCCCTTTTTGCTATTCACTGGCTAAAAGAGTGTCCATAGCGGTAGTGACCGTCATTAGTTTCGAGGGGGGGCGCGGGACAAGCAAAGTGGAGTAGCAGCAGACTATGGCACCAGTGTGGAGCTTAGTGAATGATGCAGACGGACGGACCATATCCGGCTCGCAAGAAGGGAGGAGGACTGCGACACGAGAAGGCCGTCTCATCATGTTCACGCTTTCCTTCCGTCGGATGTCCCTTCACCAGCCTTGGCGGCAGTGTGCCTGTGTGGTGGTGGTAGATCACTGTGTACTAGTGCTGTGTCTATTGTACAGTTGTACAGGATGACGATTCCTCTGCCATCTGGACGTACGGTACAGCCCCACTTCTGGCTGCTGGTATGTATGACATACCGGTATTTTCCCGCGTTCCACCTTTTTATTTTAATCTCAGTAGTTGTACTTTATGGTGCGGTACTTGAGAACCAAGGTATCGTATGCCATACCGGCAACTCGATCTTGTTCCTAAACACGGCGGCCTAACCGGAGCGTGCGGCTGTACTGTGCAGTCCCTGATATCCGTATTGAGTTAGTGAGTATGGATGAACGATATATACAAGTATTTTCGAGGGTGAAAAAAGCCCCTACCGCATGTCGTGCAAGTAACTATTATACCGGTATTACAAGTCCCAGTCAGTCCGTTAGCCTCCTCACCCTCTGTCCGCCGGTCTGCCCCGCTGCCCGTCTGCTCCCCCCCCTTCCCCTCTCACCCCCCCCCTCCCTACTCTAGGGGTGACCCCCCTGACTACTCCTTGTGACGCGAGAGCTGGACGGAAGGAGGACGATCCCAAAGAACCAGTATCCAGCAGCGCATAGGGTACATAAGGGCCCACATCCGCCACACTGTGTGGCCACTGCTCTATGGGAAGATCGAGCAGCCTTAGGATAACTTGGGCATGCAAACCGGTTTTAACTTATGCTGCATAGAATGCATTGAAAAGAAGAAAAAAAGTCGCCCATCCAATTCAAACCTCTCCATCAATCCCACAAATCCAATCTCCATCATCAGAAGTCCCTATTTCAATCGTCCAAGCACAAATGGAGGTTACAACACAACGACCGGCAGCGCCCTCAAGCCTTCCAACACCACCGCCCGATAAGCTTCTTGACGAGGAACCAGCGATGGCTGAGCTTAATAAGGTTGATTCCGGTATGGATATTGACTCTCAGAGCAATTCACTGCATGCACCGGTGTCGGTCCCTACACAAACGGAATCTGGGGGACTTCCCGTGAACGGTCAAGCGCAGGGAGGTCTCGGAAATGGCGATAGAGCATCAGGATGCAAGGAAGAAGGGAGGAGTGAAGATGGTGAAGAGGTTGATATGAAGGATATAGACCGGAGGCAGCCATCTGTCGAGGACTTTGATTTAATGACTACTTTGGGGTAGGAAAGGACTTGCCCGTTTCCGACTGGGCCTCCCAATATGCGTATTTGAGTCTAACACCAATAAAGTACAGGGACCTTCGCTCGGGTATGGTTAGTGAGACCGAGGGGTAGTCCACCAACTGAGAATGCGACCCTGTTTGCTTTAAAGCAACTTAAGAAAGTGGATAGTAAGAAATACTGGCGTTATTTTGGCGACAGAAACAAACGGAGGCTAATGGTTGGCGTGACGAAAAGTTATCCGACTGAAGCAATGCGAACATGTGCGTTACTCAGTTTTTCATTGCCACGATGGCCTTTTCACCACCTCTAATCAATCAACTTAGGTCCTCAATGAGAGATCCATATTAGAAGTTTGTCGGCCTCATCCGTTTATAACCCACTACCTTTGCTCATGGCAGGATCGCAACTCCCTATACATCCTCGTATGTATCACCCAAATACAGCAGCAACATTAACAGGCTAACCATCATATACAGCTTGAATACTCACCCGGTGCTTATTCCCCTCCTTTGTTCAATTTCCTATTTCCCCCCAAGTCCCTTATCTCAGCTCCTAACATGCACGGGCTCTCAAAGGTGGTGAGATATTTGGTTATTTACGACGGGCCCGCCGATTCGATTTTCAAACTACACAGTTCTATGCTGCGGAAATCACCATGATCCTAGTTTTCCTACATAATCACGGCATCGTATATCGTGACCTGAAGCCGGAAAATATCTTGCTGGATGCACGCGGACATGTCAAACTGGTAGACTTTGGTTTTGCAAAAGTCGTGGGTGATAGTGAGTGTTGCAAGATCATTGGGCTTCGGGGGTACGAGAAACTAATTCCTAGTGCTTTTTCAGGGGAAACCTACACACTTTGCGGTAATTTCTAACATCCCTATCATACGCCTATCAAAGTAGAATACTAACTTCTACTTTTTTATATTTTAGGAACGCCAGAATACCTGAGTCCGGAGGTCATCCAAAGCAAAGGCCACGGGAAGGCCGTCGATTGGTGGGCCCTGGGAGTCCTGATATATGAGATGAGTTGCGGGTTTCCACCTTTCTACGACAATTCACCATTCGCAATATATGAGAAAATCGTGGCGGGACGTATATCTTTCCCGTCAGTTCTCCCCGAAGAAACCAAGGATATAGTGCGCAGATTGTGCACAAAAGATTTATCTGCTCGACTTGGTAATATGTGCGGGGGAGGACACCAGGTCATGGCTCACCCATTCTTTGAGAGCGTCCACTGGCAGGAACTAGAGAACCAGGTCCACTCAGTATGTCCCGACTCACGACAGCCCCCGGATTGATGCCAACATGCTGACGGAATTATCCAGGGCCCTATTGTGCCAAATCTACGGCACCCGGGCGACACCAGATACTTCGACCAATACGACCCACCATCGACAACCGCAAGAGACGAATACACCGATGAGATGTTTGAGAAACACGATGTATCTTTCCGTGACTTCTAAGAAAGCCCAACCATTCCCATTACCACACCGGTCGCTTTACGGTCACTGTATTCTATTCAAACGGCGTTTGCTCTTTTATCTATCTGCTCAGAAAACAATTTAATACAATTACTTTGTACGCATAGCTAGGGATTTTCCCTGATTTCATTCATCTGCGTTTTTCTCAAGTTAGTGCAGAGGGCAGTGTTTATAACGGTCACGACAGCAACATCTATTAATGCTTTTTTCCTTCTTTCCCTGTGCATACCGGTATTCGAGATGTCTTGCCTTGCGGAGCAGGCGTTATTTCCTTCCATTCTGCTTTATTTACCTTCTTTCAACCCTATTCTCTAAATTTCATTTCATTTGAACGCCTTCGCCGTTAACTCGCACCGAGAGGAGTCGGTTGGAGGTGGGGGCTCTTCAGTGTGCCGGGAGCGCAACCATTGATCTTCAGCCAGTCGATCAATCAATAACTGCTATATAGTCAGCATATAATTCCAGTCCACCCCGAGCTACCAAGAAAACAAATAAACTCTCAAACAAGATGGACCCTACATACTCGCACTAAAATACAGTACCGGTAGCCCGCACCATAATTTCCATCCCATATCACCCACTGGTGACCCCCACACCATAGCAGGATCCCAAGATCGATCGAAATGCAAGAAAATTTCTGGCCGCCACAAAAAAAACTAACATCCTTTCAAGATCTTAATGAAGCGAAAACAATACTAATGTAAATTAATCATCCATCCTCACTCGGCGATAGATCCCGCCCGATGCTTGCGTCATTCCACGGCAAGAGAGAGAGATATATAAGTAGATATGGTGGCGGGTGGGAGAAATCGACGCAATAAAGTTTTCAGTGAAAAACTCTTCATAGAACCGCTCGAAACCGGCACCCCTTTTACACCCGTAACCTCCATTTTCTGATGAAATGAGCATTCGTCGGGAGCCTCAAGAGGAAAATTTTGAAAAGAGGTGACCACAGCGCTTCTCCGGAACATAGTAGTTTCCAAGGGGAAAACAAAGTAAACGAGTCATCGGCGTCTGGCATTACGGTAGAGTGTGCGCGTGAGCGAGTAGGGAAGACACGGGGTACGGTACGGTAACTTACTCGATGATCTGTGCGACAGTATCACACTTTTGACAAATTAAACGCCATCAGGATCAGCCTGGTCCAGGATGGTCATGGGGTGTCACTCGGGTGATGAGTTTCCCGGCCAGTGTGTCCAGGGGGCGTGGGGAGGTGGGACAGATTCTCTCTGGCGCGCACGCAGGTTCAAACCCTCTGCGCCAGATTTTTGGGATTCATTCGCGGACCATTCCTGTCGCTGTTTCTTCTCCTTCTTCTTCGGATAAGGTATAATACTTTTTCCCACGCAAGCACAGGAACATTGTGGATGAATACTTGCTAATCGGGGTTCTTCTCCTCCTTCTCCTTCTTTGGCTGGCCCTGGGCGTGACTTCGATAAATGGTATGATGCCCCGGATCACTCCCACCCCTCCTCCCCAACCAACCGGGGGTATGGGGGGATTGCCGTACCCGTTGTGCATGTACCCTCAACACTAAAAGCACAACCCGCAGGTGTCCGAAAGTAAAGACATGGCATCATAGTTAGTCAATCATAACGTCTCACTCGCAAACTAGGTCTGCCCGCTAGTCAGCCGGAGGGTAAGTGGTGGCACAGGATGGTAACGATAGCAGTGCTTGCCACGGGCCAGGCCCAGCAGCCAGCAAAGCCCGTGACGGCCCACCAAAATGTAGGCCAGGCTCACTAAAACCTAGCCCTATCTTTTCTATCATGCCCCATTATCAACACTACCCTCAATAGTATCTATCAAGGAGGTAGGACTATCTTTATATATCATAATGTGGCTAGCCCCACCGCTGTCCCAGGATAATGCTCAATTTTCAGAGACAATACTCGAGTAGAGCATTTAGAGAAAGCCAATATCGTGAAAGCATAATAGTAAGCCAACTTCAAGTTCATAAAGAGTGCAAATATGTAAACTAACACTGTCTCAAAACCTTATCCCATACCAAATTTTTCAAAAAATCCTGCGGGCCTCACGGACCGCTATAAATCCCATGGGCTGGCCTGGCCTATGGCAAGCGCTGGGTGGCAGAGTATAGTATATTGAGGGCCTACTCGACAGTTATATGCACTTCTAATACCGCAGAACTATGGGAGAGTTTCCTAGTATATAGGCTCTTGCAGCACCTGGTCTCCTGGAGACGGTGGGCTGTCATCCGCCCCGCAGGATGAGAGGGCGATATACAAGGGTACCACTGCGCCGAGGCGTATCGCTAAAATGTGGCCTCAGACACTCGGCGATGGATGGAAATTAGTCCAGAGTCCGTATGGGTCTGGCGCCGCCCATGACTATTTAAATTTACCATGCGGCCGAGGAGACGAGATTATTAAGAATTTCCGAAGGCCTCTCTATGTCCTCGTGTGTCCGAGCCAAGAATGGCCGCCGGAGACCCACAAAAGGTATGGGCCGCTTTCCTTACATAATGTTTCCAATCCTCTCTTAATTCGTGGCCACCATATAGCGAATCAACACCTTCTTTTTGATGGATCTGGTTCCCAAAACCGAAATCGTAGCAAAAAGTAACCGCAACTTCCATGTCCCCCCGAGTGATGTATTGTGAATCATTCCAACAGAGGCATGCAATCAAGCTGAGTTTCGATTCACTGCTTTACCACTAAACACACTGCTCAAGGCTTCAAATCATAGAGAGCGCCATAAAACAAAACATGAATACTGATTATAAAGCTCCCGAAAATGTTATCCTGCAAGAAACAGCGGCATCGCAACACATTTCAATCGCACAAAGGCGTTTCAATGGAAACTTAACCACTAGCTGACACATCCTAATGCTAAAAGAAAAGCCCTAAAGCAAGCCCCTAATCTCGGTAGCCAAGTCCTTAATTCTCGGCTCCTTAACCCTGATTTCTGCTTCGGTGACGGTTTGACGGGACTCATAAACCGATAATGCCGCCTCCCTGACCTCCTTTTGGAATGTCAAGAGTGTGCCCAGGCCCACGAGGGCACGGAAGGTAGTCTCTGAGTCAATCTCCTTCTTGATTATATTTGTCAAAGGCTCAAGGAGTGTGATTGCGCGTTCGGTCGCTCCACTCGAAGTGATCAAAACCGCATAGCTGTGGATAAAGTTAGGGTTCAAACCGTATCAAGATCTCCTGGGTGTTTTAATCTTACTTGAGGAGAAGTGTGGCTTTCGCAATCTTCATGTTCCGATTAGTTGTTCCAGCACTAGCCTCCTCAACGAGTTGGACAGTCTAGTGTAAGAAGTTCTTGTTAGAAGTGCAGTTTCCTTTGAGGGCGAGAAACAGTTAAAATACAAACCTGCTCAAATCGATTATCCATGTAGTCCCTGCCTTCTTCCGTCTGGAAGAGATTCACAAATGTCCTGGTTGCCAACATGACATTGTTTGGGTGGCTGATATCAAACGCCCCTGACGTCTCAAGAATGTCACCGGCCTTGAGCCCATTCATTGGTTCGTATGTAGCAGCCAGTGGAGTTGCTGCTGCTACTAACCTCAACAGATCCAGGCCTGGGAGGCGGTTCTGCGGATGCCAACTGGTAATTATCTTGGAGACCAATTCAAGGCCACTTGAAAAACTAGCATTGTGTGCACTAGCCTTGTATGAAGGAGCGGCGACAGCTTGGAGAGACCCACATAATTTAGCAAGGGCAGACGCTTCGTCGGGATTAAGTGCGATATCCTTTTCCCCCTTGTCCAGCAGCTCTTTGTTTAGTCCATTGACTTTGCTTTGGATAGTTGGCAGGTTGGCTGCGGTGATTGACAAGTATGATTTTTGCGGAATGCGCTTCGGCTTGGCCTGTTGCGGAGGAGGCGCATCTGGCCTATACCTGTTCTCCATACCCCATGGATCTGGGCTAGTGGACTGTTCCTGTGGCCCAAGAGCGACACCACCAGCATTTTTCACGATAAATTGGCCAACAGTATCAAGATAAGATATCGGCAATTCATTCGCCTCCAGGAACCTTCTGGCAGCCTCAAATGGGTTTTCAGATGCATTATATGGCAACTTCAATGCAGGGGCCCCCTCCTGAATATCGACATCAAACACGTAGTCGTACTCCTTACCTTCAAACATCTGCTTACGGTTGGAACCTACAGCATCTACAACCGTGCCGACGTTATTCCACGCTCTTGTTGCATTGGACCAAACATGGGCCTCTACGGTCTCCCCATTGCGCACCATAATCACCTGGGTTATTTAATATCAGTGTCGGTAGTCGATTCAGAATAGTTATAAAGAGAGAGATGCTTACCTGGCCGTCCTTCTTACCCGATTGTGCAAGGGCCTCGAGACCAGGCAAATCATCTTTCTTCACGTCGCCAACTTGATTTCTAAATACTCGTTAAAACCGACAATCCATACCTCAGCCACTCAGGAGCTTACGATGGAATCGTTGAGGCAGCGACACTATTTTCAAATGCCTAACAATATTTTTAGTAAATATGTGGTATTTGAACCCTAATTATTATTAGTATTACCTCTAATGCTCCCTGGTCTGCCCACCTCTTCTTCTCTCGAGAAAACACGCGGACAATTCGATCACTCGCTCCGCTCACAACGTCACCATTCTGAGCACAAACAGCAACAGACCAAACGCTGATGGCAGGGTGAGTAATCGTTTGAACGCAATCCCCATCTAGATATCCAGTAAGCCACCGCTGTTCTTCCGAATCCCACGGACTCTTCAGGCATATAAACCTACTTCTCCAAATCCTTACTGTCCGATCTTCGCCAGCAGAAACAAGCTCGCCCGAAGGCAAAGCAGCCACAGAGTATATAAACGCTGTATGCCCGTGTAATTCCTGCAGTTGATGCCCATCCGATGACCATATACGAATAGTCCTAAAGCATAGAAGTACTATTAGCTCACGATCCATTGGTAGTCATTCCATTGGTCCGTTTACCCATCATTTGCACAGCTGGAAAATCCGCCATTTGGCATCCTGCACAATCCACGGACACAATCCGTATGACCCTCAATCTTCTTGATGGTTTTTCCGTCTCTCCAGATCCGTATTGTCTTATCTGCCGATCCAGTGACCACATCCGTTTCTGAAAGGGCTAAGACCGCCAACACTCCCTGGTCATGACCGTCTAACACATACTGGCTTTCCCAGTTTTTCCACACACGTGCCGTACTAGATAACTATTAGCCCAAATCCGAGCGACCAAGATGCCAGCACGACACACCCATCCCAGGATCCCGAAATTATGATGCCTGCATAATTGTCCAACGCGCAAACGTTGTTTGTATGGCCCAAGAGCAGGTACTTTGCATCGTCTGTATCTTTGGAATCTGGTTCTCGAACTTCAATGATTGTATCCTGACCTCCACTGACAATCAAACCTAGAAATATCCCGCTAATTAATTTCCAGCCCCCAAACACATCAGGAAGCTACCAACCCTTAGGATGCTCCTCTGTCGGAAGAACAAAGGTAACACTGTTAATGAATCCGGAACCAGTCGAGTTGATGTGGTCGGAGAAGACAGTCCCTTCGGGGTCTTCACGTTTCCATTGCCGAACAGTAGCATCTCGGGACACAGAAGTCACAAAATAAGGAGAAGGGAAAACGACGCCGCGAACCTGTATAAATGGGGTTAGGCATCCCGTGTAGCTTTGGTTTTTGGTTTTTGGTTTTGTTTGCTTCCCTTAGCAAACCCGGGGATCAAAAACAAAGCTCACTGAATGAGCTCGGAGCTACTCACATCATCCTCATGGCCCCGTAGAGCTGCGGTAAGTTTGTATATGCCGGCCATCGATTTTGATTTTTGATTTTTGATTTTTGGAAGGGTAGTAATAAGGGGTGTAGAGACGGATATAAGTGGGTTAAACACACAAAGGTCAAATACAAACTTGTGGGGCAGGAGGAGGGGCAATTCAAGTCGTCATCCGGATTTGTGTTACTAATCCGGTATCATATGCCACCAAAGCAGGCGGCTCAACCGTGGGGCACAGGGGTGGCCAGGACACACGAGAGATCACTCGAATAATCAATCTGTCTCGCTACAAAAACTAACATGCCCCTTTTAAAAAAAAGGTAAAAATATTCCATGATACTGCAGAGAAAGGTTGATCCAGCATGTGCCGGTACAAGACAATCAATAAAAGACCAAAATGTGTTTACGAAATTTCCTAGATAATCCCTTAGATGCACCCCTCTTGCAGATACTAGTACCATAAAACTCTTGAGAATCCCAAATTTGGAGGCAAAGGCTCCTGGATTTCAACCTTTTTTTATAATATCAATACCAGAAACCCGTGCTCCGAACACCGTAATGATACGGGCGAAGAATCCAGCAGCATGGGAGGAGGGCACAGGAGCTCGAGGCACAGGGGCTCGAGGCACAGGGGCCGCGACGGGGCGGCGGGTGGCCAAAGGGTCGGCTGCCAGGAGGGGGGGGGGTGGGTGTACGGGTTTGGTGGGGCGGAGTGTCGTCCTGGTCCTGGTCCATGGTGTCTACCCCCCCTTGTCCTCCCCCTTGGAGTCTGTGTTACACACATGAACGCACAGACCTCCTGAAAACCGCGAAAATTCCACAGCCAATACCCCCCTCCGGCGCCGCAGCTGGGCCTCCAGGCAGTAATACAGTTGTCGGACTTTTGTGTTCCCACAGTATAAACTGGTTGAAATGAAGCATGCTTCATAATATGGTATATATCATCGCTGTCTGTCTGACTGAAAGCTGTTTATAGGATATATAAGAGGGGACCTCAGGCCATGTCTGAAAAGTAGAATGGAGTCAATCAGACAGGTAACCATGGAGCTATGAGCTAAGTGAGATTGACCATCATGGATATGAACAGAAGGTATTGGGACAAGATCACGAATAGTCCAATGAGTTATTAGGACAGGCTTGTATGGATGAGGCACAAGACACAGTCTAATACTTGCATAGTATAGAGCCAATCAGAGGCCTATCTGTAGTTGAGGGACTGTCTCATAACATGGACTAGTCTGATCATAGTGGAAAGTTCTTATTATCAATATAGTTGAGTTGTGAAGTCAATGATGCATTGATAAGTCTTGACATAGCTGATCACTTTAGTCAGAGTAAAGAGGATGATGAGTTGGCTCAAGGTAAGACTACTTATTCATACCTAAACCTCTGAGATGAAGGAATCATGCATTTACGCTAGAGAAGTTTCAAGTGCCCTTACGGAAACATGACAATGCATGGAGACCATAGTTGGAGCAAGATACAAAGTTTGTCTGAGTCAAATAGATTTGCGTTACAATAGTAAAGGGTAGGAATTAAAAAGGATACATTGTTTAGTGTTAGATAGATGTAGCTCATGACCATCCAGATATGGAATATAAATATCGAGGTGCCTCCTTAGCTTTCATAACATCCTCCGTCTCCGCTACACCTCCGGCGATTGAAAACTCAACACCATAATTTCTATCGTGGCTTTCATCGTCCAGCACCACCACCCCCCCCCCA